AATGCATACAAACAAATTTACCAGACTTCTTATTGTTTTTTGCTTTATTGGCATTTCAGCTGCAAAAATAGTCATGAAAGAACTAAACGCAGATGGTTCATCTTTAGCAGAATATATAAAACATTCAAAGTGGCAGTTAAAAAACGTGGTCATGATGAGAAATGAAGTAGACAAAGTTCCTTACGCGGATAAAATCATCAAGGCTCTTTCATCTCCAGTCATGATCGTAAACAGCGACTCCGAGTTGTCTGTTTACGAGGTAACCTTTATTACCTTTTCAATAAAACGATACTTTTATTACAACATATTCAAACATGTAAGGGTCGAACATAGAGCGAGAGTTGTAATTTTATGGAAATGGCCAATTCGTTATTTTAAGAACTACAGTAGGGAGAGAGCGATGGTCACTCTTCAGGATATCTTGAATGTTATGTGGCTTCATCAGATATACGATGTTTATGTACTAGTGGAAGACGAAAATTCTGATGTGCTAGTTTATACTTATGTACCTTTTGGTGAAACCCACTGCAACGAGGTAGGGCCCCCTCTCCTAATCGATAAATGGAACTCGCGGACAAAGCGTTACACGATAAATAAATTCACGATCGAATTCAACACGCATACCACAAGAGCTCAACTGATGAGAAACTTTCATGGATGTCCCATAAAAGTGTTGGTGAAAAACCGGCCTCCAGAGTCTATAGCTCTTATGTCTCCAGACAATAAACTCTTGCTGAAAGGCAGCGGAGGAAATATTTTGAGCGCTATGATGAAAAAGTATAATTTCACTGTCAATATCAAGCTAGCGGAAGACGGAGTGGGCAAAAGTATCCGAGACAAGTATGGATTAGCAATGTCCACCTACACAGCGGAGAAGCTCATCCAAGACCTCAGAAGTGGACAGTACGATTTTGCATTCGGCGTGTTTTCACATTTCATGTACTTCTCCTTGGACACAGATCTCTCTCATTACTATATGAATGACAACTACGCTTTCTATGTACCGTGTGGAACAAAAAAGGGTATTTTTTCAATCTGGAAGAACTATCACCAGGAGTTTAGTGTGTATACTTGGGCCTGCATTGTTTTTGTATTTTTCCTCATTGCTTTCACATTCAAATTAATAGCCATAATATGTCCAATAGAAAACCCGCTTTTTTTATCTTTTTGGCGAAACGTTTTCAGTTTGTGGGCTGTCCATGTTGAAAACAATGTAGAAACTAAAACAAGAACACTAACAATGAGGATTGTGGTAATGAGTTTGATGTTCTATTGCACGATAATCACAGTTGCATATCGGGCTTCTCTCAAGAGTATGTTGCTGGCTCCTTTAGAAGAGCGCAGCATCGAGAGTTGGCAGGAGTTGGACAAATCAAACTTCTCCATCTTTGGATTGCCTGATATGTTCACCATCCTCAAGAAAGTAAGCGGAGGGCACTCAACATTGAAAAGACTCAGGAAAAAATTTCAGGTCATAACAAATGAAAATTTAATTCAATTTCTTGAAGAAATTAGAATAAAGAAAAATGTGGCATATTTTGCACCAGAGAGTATGGTTTCTTTTTATAACACAATGGATGAAGAAGAAAACGGGGAAAAGAATAAGATCTGTCAAGTTCATAAGATTGTAGCGTCTTCTCCAGCTTCACCATTTCTGATGAGGAAGGGGTCCATGTTCATCCACATAATCAACAAAGTCACGGTAAGTATGGTGAATCACTGCACAACTTTTCTTTTAAAAAATTAGTAACTTCACCTGTGCTTTAAAACTTGTTTGAACCTAGAATTTAGGTCAAAAGTCCTTTAAAGCTTCAGGAAAACACAGTAATGCCAATGATTATAGAATCTTATATGTATTCTATAAGTAATGATATAACCCGTGGAATAAATAAAACCATTTTTACAAATGTTATATTTAATTGGTTTGAATCTGATATACGGCAGGGTAAAATAAAATTCAAATTAGAAATTGAAACAAAGCAAACATAAACAGAACTTTGTGAAACCCAATGTAGCAGAGCTCTAGGTTGTTATTAAAACAGGAAAATGCCTGTACGTATAGTCCTAAGTATGTAGGTTATCTTTGTGCAAAGTTTATAGCTGATTTGGTGCTGTGATTTTTGCGATGTGAAAAAAACAGATAGACACCTAACTTTTGTAAAATATATATGTGAAACCAGAAGGTAGGCTTATATGTTCAAAGTGTTCTGTCAAATCTTGGTCTTGAAAGGGTGACATGTTTTAAACTGGTGTTTCAAATGCGTTGTAGCAATATTCAGGCTTTAAATCAAATGAATTGCAGCTCTTACGATTGGGGAAGAGTTAAATTATAGTTTGCCCTGAATATATTTTGTTGTGATAAATTGAAAGCATCGACCAGTATTTTCGCGACATCTTCTTTAAGACCAAGATTCAACAAAATATGAAACTGTTCAGAATCCACTCAGGGTACCATATGTGGCTTGATGTTGATTGTTTACAGAATCATATGGTGCAAACTGGTCAAATGAAGCAGCTGTCTTTTCATCAACCACTGCAGCAATCACGTCCCAAACAAAACATCAGAAACGACCAACTTCCCTCATCATTTCAACAGTTGAAAGGAGCTTTTTTGTTGTTACTGGCTGGATTGGTTCTGGCAGCTGTTGTTTTCGTGTTGGAGTTGTTTTGTTTGAAATTTAAAGTAAAAGTATTTTCGATCAAAAGGAAAAATTAAGAAATTTTAGACTAGTTTTATTTGAAAACAGCAGAAACTGATGTTGGTGAAATAGCAGAGTTGAGCTGCAGCGGTTAATTACCCTGATTATATAAAATGATTTAGACAGTTAGTTAACATAAAACTAATCTTATTGGAAATAAGATAGAATGCAACAACTGAATGTAAACAGGACAAACTATAAACAAACTCATAACAATATAGAAATATAACATCAACCATATGTTATAACAAATTAGGCAGGCAAGATAAATATGAAAGTTAGACATTACAACAGAAACAGCTTTAATAACGTTATTTTTGTTTTCGTAAGTGTTAAGCAGATATGGTTTGTGAGAAATATATTACTGTTCAATTAATAAGTTACACTAAACTCCCTCTTATCCGGACACCTTTTAACTGGGCATCGGTTTAACTAGACTACACTCAGTAAAAGTGACATCTCTTTAACCAGACAAATTTATCAGCACATTTGTTTAACCAGAGTAGATCGGCAGGAAATGGGTGGTACTGAAACGGCTTTTCCCGTGGGAAAGATTTGGGACGATTGGTCATGTTTCTAGTTTTAACTTTTTGATGTAATAATCATTATTGGCATGTATTGGCATTAGGCACTACTAATTTAACAAGTTTTAAAGGACATCAGTTCAACCAGTAAAACCGTTACTGGCCTCCATTCCAAAGAGTCTGTATAAGAGGGAGTCTACTGCAAATTAATTTCAATGTAGAACTTTATTAGACATGCACAAAATGTTAGTTTGAAATTGAAAATACACAAACAGCAATATGTCTCTGATCAAGACTAGCAACTGTGTCATTTATTGTATAGTACATGTAATTTACTATAGAATATGGAGAAGTATAAAATAAATTAGAACATTAGTCATTTTAACTTTTAACTTAATTTCGCATGCATTTCACAACTTTCTGTTGCTATTCTTAACTTATCATTGATTACACTAAATGTCTGCTCATTAAATGAGCTTTGACACATTTAACATTAAATTATTGTGCTACACTTTTGTTGGTGTATATTACTTTTTGCCCCTAAATGTCCATCTCTCATCTAATGTATCCAGTAAACTATAGCTAGTACTAAACCTAGTGACTGTCAGCTAATAAAAACCCCTTATTAGCGAATTTCCCATATAAGGAATAAGCTATTAACGTGGATCACATGGTAAGACCTGGGCCCAGATCCGATATACTTTGTTTTAAGGCCCCCAGAGGTAAAAAACACCATTCATTCAAATTCATGTATCATATTCATATATTTGTGTGTCCATTAGCGCAATAACTCCAGCAAAAATGATCCCATTTTGAAGAAATTTGGTACAAACAAGTAATCCTACGTTCATTCAAACTAATATGCGAACCAGCATAATCAGACTATGGGAACGGCGGTCTATAGGGGGTTTTATGAGGTAAAAATAGGTTTTTCTCCTTTTTGACCCTGAAAACATAAAACTTGGAATTTTCTATCCAAACTAATTTGTAGAGCTTAAAAAAAAAAATAATATAATATATCGAAGCATTGTTGTATTGTTAGCATTGTTGACGGTTATGGAGAAAAGTCCAAAAAAGTGTAAATTAAAATTCTTAGATTATTCTTATACAGTAAAAAAAAAAAAAAAAAACTGTTGAAGTTTGCTTGTTTATGGATATATTTAAATTGAATTTGGCAATTTTTTAAATTTCATACTAAGCTATCAACATTTAACAATAAAAATACACCTTTTTACCTTCCCTTAGTATGCAGATTTGCTGCGGCGGGGGTATATTTATTTAGTATTGATGTAATTCTTTTTGTATGCTGTAATTCTCTTTTTTCGATCATACGAGTATAATTATAATTCTTTTGATAACTAGCAGTGTTAGCAATGCTGCAAGATGGTTAACACAGCAGACGTTCATTTGTGCATTTGAATAATTATCTTATGGTTTTTAACTTGTCTTGTAAAAATTTGTGCATACAGTACTTAATGATGCACAACTTAAATTTGGATAAGACTAGATTAACTATCATAGGACCACAGGGTGCATATTTCAAGGGGAAGATGTGTTTGTGTGTGTGTGCGTTGAATGAATGAGATGATAGATTTGTTATTTGCCAAGATCAGCTGTTGTTAAGCCAAGACCGTTTATTAAAAGTCCAATGATGAAGGAGCCTATCTGGTTTGGTGTTTTCTAACATCGGTAAAAAGGTAATAAAATAACAATATCACAGAAATAAATAAACATATAACCAAAGCAATAAGAAGTTTGCTAGGAAACATCAGCTTACCAATGATGGTGTTGGTGTTAAGGGAGAAGAGAGTGTTTGTACAGACAATTCAATACTACTTCCTGACATACTGGCATTATTGTTTTGACCAGGCAGACAACTGTCACTTATCTTTTGACCGTACAAGTCTAAAAGCTTTTCTAACTTCTTGGGTTTCAATTTGAAAACAGTATCTTCAGTAATCTCATCATCAGAATATTCTGAAAACAATTAACATTATTTATTGAATTCTGTTTTTAGCGAATATCTCATATGGGGAATAAGCTATTTTAACAGAGTTTTGGTTAGGAGGGGACTTTTTTTAACATACTTCAGTTAAAGTTCTAAAATGAAAACCTTCCATTTTACCTCTTTAAATAAGAAGTACAATCTAAGAATCCAATGCACTGTGGATGCGATACTCCCTGGTAGTGGTGTGGATTAACGTCTGCACGAGTGAGTACTACGACTATCCGCGGTACTATCCTGATAATTAGACCAATTTGTTTATACCAAGGCAAAAAATTGGTTCGGATTCCACTATAAACTGTAGGTCCCTTAGCTGTATGGGCTATTAATTAACAGCTGTGTCTAAGGATTATGTCGGCCTTAGTCACTAACAAGACTACAAGATCGCGCCACTCATCTCACACTCATCTCCATTCATACTTGGCTTAAAATACCTACATTGTTATGGTCACCATTTCAAAGAAAAGTATAAAAAAAAGAATTAGAGGGACAACAGACTGTTTTAAACCATAGCAGCAATTTCAAGGGTTGCGTCTTGTTTTACCAATCAGTATATTTTCATTGTACTGTACTGGCTCACCCCTTGCTTTTCTGCAAACCTTACACGCACAGTCCGTTGAGACCCAAGAAATCAGGCAAATTAAAGAAGAAATGAGGGTGCTGATCTATTTTAAGAAAAAAATTTAAAATAGGAATTAATTAAAACAGTTTGATTTTTCAATTGTTTCTGGTCAAGTTGTGCATTTTTGAGTATTGAATTGTTTAAAGCCCTGAAAAAGGTTTGTATGTATAGTGTAAATGTCCTGGATGGTGAAAGATATTTAAAAAAATATTCTAAGTTTTCATAGTTTTGTTACCTAGTAAATTAAGCATTACTAGTTTGCATAAGTGGATGAATCTTTGTAAATGTGTTGGAACAAAATAAATAACTAGCTGCTGTACCCAAGCTTCGCAGCGGGAAGAAAAATCAGTTTCATAATCATTGAAATAGATTTAGAATAAATAATCTATCATAAAGTTTGAGATAAAACAATCCTACCACATAGTGTTGTGTAAACTATACAGTATTTAATTTCTTTGGATCAGCTGTCTAAAATTTCGAAATGAGCATTTGGCAGTTCTGATGGTTTACATTGAAATGTCAACACAAAGGTGAATTTTCTCATGCTTCAATGGAGACAAATTAATATTTACTTTTGAAATCCTCAACTCAAAACTTTGGACATCCAAGGGGCATAGCCTGAGAGGAACTCAGGGAAGTGAATATGCCTATGACATTCCTAGATATGTGGACCATCATTGTGCTTAGTTTTGGCTGTATCGGTTCGTTATTTTAGTCGTTACAGCTGCCCAGACAGACAGACATACACCACCTCAATTGTATAATAGTATATAGATAGATAGATAAATGGTTACATCGAACACAAAGTCAGAAACATACCTTAACATTGTCTTCAGCTTCAACTCATCGATGAGGACAAATATATTAGGGAGTTTGAATAATCTATGGTATAATTGATTACATAGTAGAACTTTACCTTGATGCTTTAAGAATTCTTGTCTCAACGATTTACAGTTATTGAGATGCAATCCCTCACTCTCCCACTGGCTTTTCAGTTTGTTCACAACTTCATAAATTGTCATGTCCAAACTCAATTTAATAGGAACTTCCTAAAAATACATATTCCATTTATAATGTGCTGGCATAATTACATTTTGAATATCAAATATATGTTATAGAATAAGTATTAGGCAGTGTTGGGAAGTAGCGCGCTACAAGTAGCGACGCTACAGTAGCACGCTACTTTTTTTGTAGTGTTAGCTGTAGCTACGCTACTTTTAAGATTTTGTAGCTTTAGCTGTAGCTAGCTACATTTTTAAAGTAGTTGTAGCGGAATTTTAGCTACTTTTCTCGCTACATTAACATTGATTGAGATAGTGATTTTTATCACAACCTTACGTGAAACAACCTCTTTCAAACAGATTTTCAAGATGATTTGACAAAATTGTCAAATGGCTTGGTGCATGGAATAAATCTTTCTGATAAAAAGCCTGATATTCCTTGTGAATCATGTGTACTTGGCGAAAGCCACCGACTACCTTTCCAACCAAGTAGCAGTAAAAGTAGTGAACTACTAGAATTGGTACACTCTGACTTGGTTGGACCGATGGAAGTAAATTCTCTTGCTGGTTCTAAGTATATTCTTACTTTCCTAGATGATTTTAGCCATAAAACATTTGTTTATTTCTTGAAGACAAAGGATCAAGTTTATGAAACATTCAAATCTTTCAAACATCTGGTAGAAAATCAAACTGGGAAGAAAATCAAAACTCTAAGGACAGATGGAGGTGGTGAGTATTGTAGCAAGAAGTTTTCTGAGTTCTTGAGTCTCTTGAGGATTATGTATAACTTTTTATGCTGCAAGTGATGATGATTGTGCTAAACCTCAACTCAACCGTTACAGCTCTGTACACCATTTAATGGTATTAGCTCCTGAAAGGGACCTAGAAATAGACCGAATGGATGCTGTCTCTGCATTTCCTCAAGAAGAACCCACAGAAGAAATATGCATGAATCAACCTAAACATGAAAAAGCCTCTCATAAGTGGAAGCAGAAACTACACTCATGTTTGATTAGAGTAGGACTGGCTCAGTCAATTTTTGATTCCAGTGTTTATCACATGGTGAAAAATGGGAGGATGTTAATCGTTACAGCCTGGGAGGACAATTTAGTAGTTTTTCACAATGATAAACATCTCAAAGAAATCCTTAAGACACGACTAATAAAAGAATTCAAAATTAAAGATATGGGGACAGCAAAATTTATTCTGGGATTAAGAATAACCCAGGATAGGAAAAACAAGAAGATTGTCTTGATCAACAAGCATTAAACTGTGAAAAAGGAAGGAAGCTCTTAAGAAAAAGTTCAAAGAAAACAAGTGAAAATTTGTTATAACTTTAACAAAAACACAAGACAAATACAAGCTCATGAAATGTATCAAGGAGCAAGGAATATCCAAGTTGGGAGGATGTTGTAATGTCTAACTTACATATTCACATTGCCTGCCTAATTTGTTATAACATATGGTTTATGTTATATTTCTATATTGTTATGAGTTTGTTTATAGTTGACTTGTTTACATTCAGTTGTTGCTGCATTCAGTATCTATTCTATCTTATTCCCAATTAAATTAGTTTCATGTTAACTAACTGTCTAAATCATTTTATATAATCAGGGTAATTACCCGCTGCAGCTCAACTCTGCTATTTCTACAACATCAAGTAGTGCCATAGATATTCATATTATTTCATCCGTGGTAGTGCTCTGAAGCGACCCATCTGCAATGGGGCCAAAAATTTGGCTCAAGTTACCTGTAGTAAAACGGGGAGGCAAGATGGTCTAGTGGTAGAGCGCGGGGCTTCGAAGCCCAAGGTCCCAAGTTTAAATCCCGCCAATCACCAACGAATATTATCTGTGATAATACCACATTCCTCTGGGACTAACCTGAGTGAAGTAATGTGTAAAACAGTTCCAGCTTAGAACCTTGCATCTTAGGATGTGAAAGTGTGAATAAAAAAAACCTGAAGTATGAAATAGTTTCACCCCAAAGACCTGTGTGACATTGTAGTTAGGATAGTCCTGTTAAAACGTTTCTGAACTTACCTCTAACATGTCTGTCACAACAGTCAAGCTCCAGGAAGGTTTGTCGTCAACATTTTCAAAGAACATTTCGTCAGAATCTTCAGAGTTTGAAGCAATGTTTGATTGTAAACGTGACGGGTTCTCCTTTGTCCCTATGAAAAAATATATCCCTATAAAAAAACCCAATCCTAGAGATTTACCTAACCGAAATACATACAGGATGTCCAGTAAGAAAAAAACCAAACTCCGTGCCCCCCTCCCCACAACCTCTGTGTATGAGTCAAAATAAAGAGAAAATCAAGTATGAAATGTTTTCCAAAAACGCTTTGTTTACCAGATGCCTGCCATTTTATATTTTTCAACAGAAAAGTTGACAACTTTGAACGTTTTAAGCCAATCTTCATGAAAAATGGTATTTTATGGCAACATCTATCTTAGAAGAAAATTTAACTTGTTTGGATATAAAACAACAAAATGGCACTGAATTAGCAAATTCCATGAAAACAAGTCACTCAACCTCATTATACAGGGTGGCTGAAAAGTAACTTGCACCCCCACTTAACTTTTCAACCATTTGAGATATTTGAAATCGGTTTGCGGCAACCTTCTTAGATATGAGGGGCTACAATAATTATGGTCAATTTTGAAAATTTCGCCTTTAAGGGTAGTGGGGGTAGGGGGTAGCTCAAAATTTTCAAATGACAAGTATAGTCGAGTTTGGCATCATTTTACAGGTCTTGACGAAACATAAACATTGACATAAAGAAAACCAAAATCGGCTCACTAATAACAAAATGGTGCCCTAAAACGTTTCAAATCCAAATAACCATGAGGGTGGCAAAAAAAAATTAACTTGCACCCTCTTTAACTTTTTAACTATTTGAGATATTTGAAATCGGTTTGCGGCAACTTGTTTGGAAATGAAGAGCTACAATAATTATGGCCAGTTTTGAAAATTTTGCCCTTAGGGGTAGCGGGGGTAGGGGGTAGCTCAAAATTTTCAAATAGCAAGTATAGTCGAGTTTGGTATCATTTTGTAGGTCTTGACAAAACATAACAATTAACATAAAGAAAATAGAAATCAAACCGTTATTAACAAAATGGCAGTTCAAAATAACTTTAAATAGCCATCGTCTCAATCATTTTTAGCTGCCATTTTGTTATTTATGGTCCGATTTCTTTTTTCTTTATGTTATTTGATATGTTTTGTCAAGATTTGTAAAAAGATACCAAACTCGACTATGCTTGCTATTTGAAAATTTTGAGCTACCCCCTACCCCCGCTACCCTTAAGGGCAAAATTTTCAAAACTGACCATAATTATTGTAGCCCATCATTTCCAAACAAGTTTCCGCAAACCGATTTCAAATATCTCAAATAGTTAAAAAGTTAAAGAGGGTGCAAGTTAATTTTTTTGCCACCCTCTTGGTTATTTGGATTTGAAACGTTTTAGGGCGCCATTTTGTTATTAGTGAGCCGATTTTAGTTTTCTTTATGTCAATAATTATGTTTCGTCAAGACCTGTAAAATGATGGTAAACTCGACTATACTTGTCATTTAAAAATTTTGGGCTACCCCCTACCTCCACTACCCCTAAAGGCGAAATTTTCAAAATTTGCCATAATTATTGTAGCCCCTCATATCTAAGAAGGTTGCCGCAAACCGATTTCAAATATCTCAAATGGTTGAAAAGTTAAGTGGGGGTGCAAGTTACTTTTCAGCCACCCTGTATATGAAGGTCTAAAATAAAAATATTAGAGCCTAAAGTTCTTTCAGTTAAAAATTTCACAGAAATATCTGAAAACACTCTACAACATCACACTAGTTAAACAGGAGAATATCAGATTTTTCTATAATAGATAAGAAACATCTTAGTCAACATCAGCACACTCAAGCGTAGCTGGACCAAAACAAATAAAAGTAAATATATAAAATTGACTAATAAAAAATTTACTTTAAAAAGTACAAACCAGTTTGTTTGTCAAGTATGGACGGCAGATGTTCCTTGTAATAACACATAGCTCTCAGCTGATCGGGCCGCAGCGGCCATGAGTTGTCTAGCAGTTTAGCTGATATTCTGTACACAACAGGTCTTACTTTCCCATCCCCACTTCCACCTGACTCCGCTATCACGCTATTCCCTACAAAGAAATAATGTTTCAATACTGTTTTCCAATTTATTATGTAGAAATGTGTTGGTTACATTTTTTGTAGCTGTCTGATGGTGAAGAGAGTGTATTATTTTTAAACAATACCACCTTATCTTGTAATAACTTACTGCATGCCCTGGTTTGTGATTTGATTGCAAGATAGAGGTTTGGGAGTCGGGCTTTGAGATTGGTATCGGCATTGGGAGTCGGACTTTGAGATTGGTATCGGCATTGGGAGTCTGGCTTTCAGATTAGTGGCAGTGGTTGCTGCTACCGGAGATCACTTTACGGTATTTCTGAGCAAATGAAAGTAGTTGTAGGTTTAACAAATTTATACTATAAATAATCTTTTAGCCCGAAACCTTGAAAATCTACAAACATCTTTTTTTATTATTCTACCTCTTATAAAAATCAAAAGAATAAAGGAATAAATAATTTCTTGTATAACTTACTATACAAAATTTGGTTTCTATGTTCACTAATAAACCTACAATAGCACACACAGCAGTAAATCTTCCAAATAACACAGTTGAGAATTAGAGTACCGCCATAACATAGATGACAATGTATAGATTAATTTTTTTTACTGACACAATACATTTCAACCGCTTTTACATTATTCTGAAGTAACAAACAATCTACCTATCAATCGGCAGTCCACCTCCATAGCCTGGCCAGTGCCGCTGGTGTAGCAGATGACGTCTCCACTCTCACTGTACACTGTGAGACTACACACAGCGTACTTGTACGACACGTTGAGCCTTAGTAGCACTGTCACATCAGCCTCCACTGCTAGCAGACACCTGTCAACATATCAATCAATCATGGAAGTAGACAATACAAAATAGGTATTAAGATGAATTATAGATGATGTATAAGATGCGTACTCTTTGTCTTCTGGGTTGGACATGAGCGAAGTTTGAATGCCAATGTTTTAGAGGTACTGGGAGTTCTTCATCATCAGCTGATCCAGTAGTGTAGGCACTACGTGAAGGTATATATGTCCAAATTTATTTGGAGAAAATTTTTTTAATAATCATCCTAAAATAGTTATTTGTGTAACTAGTGTGCAAAGTGGCTCTTTGCTGCACATGAGAGAAATTTTTACGCATGAGTCGCAGGCGAGTGAGGATTGTTTCTTGAGTCCAGCAAAGACACTTTGTACTCGTGTTACACATTATAATTTCACTACAGTTAGGTACTATAAAGCATATAAGTTAGCAGTTAAGGAAAGGCCAATTGGCTGGTTAGGATTGTTATGTACAAGGAGGCTAATCTGGACTGTCTACCAGGTAAGCTAGCTGATCCCTATCCTTGTACATAACAATCCTATAAAGCATATAATTAGTCTTTAAAACACTATACAACACGTTTTTAGGTTAGTTAAATCCAAGCGTTGAACGAAATAGGAAACGCTACACCAGCTGATCGTAGTCTGTTACCATTGCTGTAATTACTATTCTGTCTGAGCCAATAATCTTGAACGGTAACTAATTTATGAACTTGTTCTTTGGGTTATCTCATTGTAGGCTGAGTTATCTAGACAAATTTAACGTGTGACTATTTTGGTAAGAAAAAACCTATAACCTAGATACAAATAATGACAATATTATATTTTATTTTGTCATCTCCTGAAATTATGCCACTACTTAAAATATCCGAATCGCTCAACAATAGGATCTGTCACTAGACAAACAATTTTGTAGGTAAGTGTTGCTTTGACATAAAAATCTAAAAGCGGGAAATCACCATCAACATTTATCTAGTATATTGTTCAAATTGAGATGAGTAATGGACCTGGAAGAACCCTAGATTTCACGACGTAAGTGCTCTGGTAGAAAACAATGAGGTTCAGTTATAAAGTCGTCCGATAAGGGTTCCAGCCTGGTTCCCTGTGGACGTATGGTTCTTTTTAGGAGGACAGTCCCACAATGTTCTCGTCCGAGTCTGTACATTACACATTTCACCTTGGAGCCAGTCACTCTGCCACAGTAACGTACCTTGCAATATCTCTCTGTTTGTTGGGCACATAGTAGCCACGCAGAGTCTGTTGGTGCTGTTGTGGCAGTTGAGTTGTCGTGTTGGTACATCTGTCACAGTCCTCTTCACAGATATGAAGACATTCTGTCTCTGTCACACCCAGACTACGCAGACGCCAAGGTATGGGCTGCAGCTGATCGGTGACTCCGTACGCCATCACTGTGTAGCCTTTCTACAAAGAAACAACATCAAGAATAATGTTAATTCGCTCAACAAAATAAAAATGTTAAACATTATGCTTTGTAAAAATGTACAAGCTAAACACTAAACTAGAAACATTGATTAAACATACTTTAGAGATATGTTATCCTTATGGATCAGCTGAAGACAATTTTAAATGTTAGTGACTGATTCCTGCAGGGGTGTAGTGTGATTTTGTTACTATTTGTTTCTTGCTATTCCATAACTAGTTGAACCAAATAAAACGATCTAATTATAAACAATAGTCAGACTGAGTTTGTTTTAAGCCATATTTTAGTAAGCAGTTTGTAAACAACTGCTTCCATTTAAATGGAGCTTGTTTAAGTCCATATAAAGTCTTTCTTAATTTCAAAACTTTATCTTTATGATCAAACCCTTCAGGTACACACATATAAATTTCTTCATCTAAATTTCCATAGAGAAAAGCAGTTTTAACATAAAATTGCATTAGTTTGAGATTTTGTTTGGCAGCTAATGAAAATAACAAACGTAAAGTTGAATTACTTACAACTGGGCTGTAGGTTTCTTCATAGTCTATACCTTTTTCTTGGGCAAAACCTCTTACAACTAGTCTCGCTTTGTATTTTCCGTTATCCTTTCTTGTTAATACCCACTTGTTACTTAGGATCTTCTTGTTTAGTGCTTGCTTTTTGTCAACCACTTCCCACGTTTCATTCTCAATTAGGGAGTTTTTCTCATCCTCAATTGCTTGTAGCCAATTCTTTATATCTGGTCCTTTGATTGCTTCTTCATATGTCAACATCACAAAATCTTTATATCTTTCAGGTAGTTTAGTTTTTCTTCTTAGTTTGATGCTTTGTGTAGTATCAGTATTACTTGAACTTGGCTGTTCTTCATTGATTTCATTTTTGTCTGAAACCAACTCAAACTCTACTTCATTATTACTTATCTCACTTAGATTATCTGCACTCTCAATATCTTCATTTTCATTTTCGTCTTCTATCTGGTCATTTTCATTTTTGTCTTCTTTCTTGTCATTTTCATTTTTGTCTCCTTTCTGGTCATTCTCATCGTTTAGACTGTCATCGTCTTCAATAATTGTTGTTTTCTCCTGTTCTTTGCCAACATGCTTGCTTTTGTACTCAACGAATTTCACATCTCTTGAGACTTTTATTTTCCTAGAGCGTTCATCCCATATCCTATATGCATTCAGACCATATCCCACAAAAATAAATGATTCATTTCTGATATCCAACTTTCCTAAGTTAGGCCTCGTTATACAAGCATAAACTTTGCTGCCGAAAATTCTTAATCTTGATAGATCTGGTTTTTGGCCATACCATTTTTCACATGGTGTAGTGTCAACTGACTCACAAGGACTTCTGTTTACAATGTATGCAGCTGTTCTTATGGCTTCTCCCCATAGCTCTTTACTTAATTCTGAATCAAACAGCAGTGCTCTTGTTTTTTCTAAAAGAGTTCGGTTCATCCTCTCAGCTTTGCCATTTAGTTGTGGCGAATAAGGAACAGTGTAGTCTAACACTATACCCTTTGTTTTACACAAATCTTGGAGATCCTTCGAAATATATTCTCCACCATTGTCACATCGGATCTTGTGAATTTTTAAGTTCCATTTAGCCTCTACTTCTGCAAAATATTGTTTTACTGCATCAAACACTTCATACTTGCCTTTTAAAAGATATACCATAGTAAAGTTTGTGTAATCATCAATAAATGTGATAAAATATCTTTTACCATCATGAGTACTTGGTTCTACTGGTCCACATACATCAGTGTGAATTATTTCTAGTGGTCTTGTTGCTCTTGTTCTTTCAGTATTAAAAGGTAACCTTGTCTGTTTAGCCTTCAAACAGACTTCACAAGTCGTTCTTCTATCACAGGTCTTCAAACATTGGCCAGACAATTTTATACCTTCTGACATAGAAATGAGTTTATTTAAACTATCAAAACTAATATGTCCCATTCTTCTATGCCACAAAATTACACTATCATCCACTACCGGTTTACTTGTTTCCCTTTCTATTAACTGAGCATTTAAATTACTATTAATGTCAAACATCTTCACTGTGAACATTCCATTTGAATTTTTTAAGCCTTCCAACACTTTATCTCCAGTTTTTTTAAGTCCTATCATAACTTTATTTTCAGAGAAAGTAACCTCACCACCATTATTAGTTATTGCAGAAACAGACAATAAGTTTTTACTGAGTTCAGGAACATATATAGCACATTATTCAGGATACATTCTTTGGATTTTACAGTTCCACTCGTTGAAGCTAACATGGTTTGATTTTTCTTTGCAACATATATTTCAGAAGAAATATTTTGTTTATTACTTAACAAATCTTCACAATTTGTCATATGTGAAGATGTGCCTGAATCAACAACCCATTCAGATAGGCCTACTAAAGTTTTTCTAATTTTTCTAATTTTTCAGATTTTCTAAAGTAACAATCTTTTTCATTATGATTTGACTTTTTACATATATTACAAAATAAATTTGGCTTTATATTTCTTTTTTCAAACTTGTTAACAAATTTTTTTACATTTCCACAGGTGTTTGCTAAATGACCAACAGCATTGCATTTAAAACATCGCCTTTCATTATCAGAGTTAGCCCTATTGTATGTAGGCTTGCAGTACTTTGCTTTATGGCCTGGAATTTTTCAGTTGTGACAAACAACTTGGAACGCAAGATTTTTCTCTAGGCTTACCTCCTTTAACTCACTTCTTGACTCTTCTGCTAACAGTCTCGCTGTTAGATTTGCCAATGTCTTTTCTTCATTGGGCATTGATTCCCAGGCAGTTACAAAATACTTAAATCTATCTGGCAGACTGACAAGAATTTTTGATATTACCATTTTGTCATCAATATCTTGTTTTAAAGTTTTTAGTCTGTGTGCTATGTTTTCAATTCTACTTATGTGAGAACTTATATCAGAATTAGGCTCATACTTGAGGTTAAAGAATTCTTGTAATAACGAGTACTTCTGCTGCTCTGAGTCTCTTTCATAAATATTACACAGCTTTAAAAACATTTCTCTTGAGTTTTCAAAGTTAATGATATGTAACATCGGTCCCTTCTTAATAGAACTAACTATACACTTCTGAGCCTTGGCATCTCTAATCCAATCAGCCTTCTTCTTTCCATCACCCATATCTTCAAGTTTCTCAGAACCATCAACAATACTCATCAAATCACTGGATTGAAATATTATTTTAATCTGAAATTTCCACAATGGAAAAGTTTCAACTCCTTTGAGTTTTTCTACGAAATCATCTTCTTTTACTGATGCCATTGTTAGTCTTACTTTTACTATTTCACTCACCTTCACTGAGTGAAAATTTAAAAACGTACGTTTTCAGCAAAAGCACTTTGCAAATTCTTTTCCCATTTTTTCAAAACTTTTATTATTATTTTTATTTCATTAACATTTGAAGTTTCATAAAATGTCCATGGTAACGCGATATCTTTGGTAGTTTCTTTTTAAAAGAGCATCTTTAGTTGAAAAACACAAAATCCTGTCACGACCATAACGGACGTTTAAACGAATATTAAAAATAGTTAATATTATTTTTATAACTATGTTTTGCTATAAACTAATTTACTTTTATGACCATTATACAATAAAAAGGTCACTGAGCTTTTGGTATATTTGGTCTTTCTAGAAAAAAATAAAAAAACTCAAAAAATTGAAAAAAAGCCAATAAAATCTTTTTAAGTTTGTATAACTCCGAAGAAACTTACCTGAGACCCGAAAAATCGTTATGTTTGTATAGAGGCGTGCTTCTTTTGTGTATAAAACATTGAAATATGACGATATTTTAATTTTTGAAATTTTTATGATAGAAATCATAAACGTGATGGTCAGGGACAAGCGGTACGGTCGTGAATTGTCTGGAATAATCAAAATCTTTCTAAACAATCCTTCAATTATCCTGTTAGTTATAATAAAAATATGTGTTTCAATTGAACTAAAATGTTCAATTTACAATTATATTAAAGTTATTGTCACGACCAAACACACTATAATCCATAATGCTGGATTGGTCGTGAAAAAACCCGCGATGGTCGTGAAACTTTGGTCGTGAAATTACGTGTTATTTGGCTCTGTTCTGGCGGTAGCCCTGCACCTCATGTTCAAGGATACAAAGTGGACTTCTACGTTAATCTAGCAATTGAAATATCTTATAAACAAAAATTAACACCATGTCTACTTCATCGAATGACTACGTACGGTCATGGACACACCAAAATTACAAAAAACACAATCTTTCCTTTATTAATCTTGTAATTCCTCCTTTCAACTTGAAACGACCGGCACTACAATCCTGACGTACACCCCGAACTAGTCTCTGAAACCAACTGACTCCATCGACGCCAGGCTTGCCACTGTCGTGCTCCAAAGTTGAAAATTTTTCCCAAATGGTCGTGACGCCAAATCGAGGGACAGACATATTTTGTCATGGTAGTCAGTTTGTAATGACAATAAAATTATAATATGCTCCTTTTTTGTAAGTTTAATAACCATTGATGACATAAAAATATGGCCTTATATATTTCGGCATGAATAATTAGTCTAAAAACAGTGTGAAAGTTGGAAAATGTACCCTAGGGACACGTCATGGTCGTGAATTTCGAGACTTTAAAAATACGAAAAAAATACCTAGAACCTATTTAAAACCAAATAAATGTGTGTAACATGTTGCCCCCGTCCCAAAAAATATTAAAACACATAATAATAAACTACAAATCCAGTATCTACGAAGTAAAAGGCCAGGGACATGAAAACGTACGTTTTTAAATTTTCACTCCACTACACTTTAACTCTTAGGGTTTTACTAGAAGATTACTTCTTGTTTTTACAGTTATTAATGGGCCCATAACCTGTTGACTTCTTAAGTGAAAGTAAATTACTAACACCTAAGGTTTTTACTTTTACAATAATTATCTTTTATTTTACTGAAGTACACCAAGGCCCCACTAGAAAAAACAGGCCATGCTGCAGCGCGGGCAGCACAACATTACGTCACAGTGGTGGATAGTTGTACTAAACTCTTACCATTACAATATTACAAACAGCCAGCTTGTTTATTTACCAAAAACATATGGGAATGGTGATGATAATGAATTTATCAATGAAATCTATCCACTAGTGTGACGTCATGGATCCTGCAGCATGGCCTGTTTTTTCTAGTGGGGCCTTGAGTACACACACAACATTTTTACTCAAACATAACTTATTCAAAATTCTCTTTACAATAAAAACAATCCTAACTATTTACACATGATCAGCTGTTACCAACATAAATTAAATTAAATACAGAACAAGTAGCAGCAAACATATTATATAAAAATAAAATTACATTCAACAATCATCTCTGATTTAAATCTGGCTAAACCCTAAATTATCTATGGAAACAATAATTGAACTAAGCCAAACAGAGTAAAACAAAGGGGGAAAACTTACCCTGTTTCGACTGAGATATGCAACGTTATTCTCAACAAAACCATGTCGCAATATTTCCTCACTGGTGTCATTGTCAATCAAGCGAAGTACGAGACTCTCTACAGGTGACCATATGTGGAGGCTGCAGGGCACTGACTATAGAAATTAAATATATTATTAATCATATTTTTTTTTTTTTTTTTTTTTTTAAGGGAGAGGAGGGAAAATGCTTTTACGCACACAGGTAGCCAGCCTGTAGTGTGAGACTCCTGAATCTATCGCAGACTACTCACTAAAAAACCCCCTCTACTCTGTTGGACACAGACCTGGAATTGTTTGTCACATTACTTCAAGTCAGGCCAACATGTTACCTAAGCCCTCAGGGCTCTCACCGTTTATGGCATTTGGATACTTTAAGACCTACACCGCATCCCGGTCAAGGTCGAGCTTCTTGGCGCGGAGAATACCCTGGATGTAATGTGACACACAGGTCCAATTGTCCTCACCCTCCGTCATCATCGGTATGACCGTGTCCACCGACAGCAGTCCTACTAACTGTTGAGCCTCCAGGCGGGGCCTTTCCCAACGCTGGCAGTATTATTAATCATATGCCTACTTTACAGTTTTGAGTTAAAAGGACCTCAACAAACAAAATCTTAATCAAAATCGTTTGAGCCATTTTTTGAAAAAATCCAATTTTTCAGTTATTTTATAGGTTTTTAAACCCACACGAATTTTACTGGTCTCACACACACACATGGAAATCACTTTGAAAAAAACTTTTTTTTGTGTTCAGAGAATCCAAAAAGGAAATTTCCTCCCAAAACACAAACTTGAAAATGTTTACACAAACAATAATTTGTTTCTCTCCCTTTATTTATGTATGGGGTAGAAAGTTAAAAAGAAAACAAATCAACGGCAGAAGGAAGTAAAAAACTTTTCAGATCCTGACCTCGGTAGAGTGGATGTTGAGCACACATCGCACCAAAACCACCCAGCTGTCTACGGGGTGAGTCTCCCCTAGATAATCCTTCAATACCATCTTAACGTCATCTTCAGCATGGAAGGGGTAGAGACTTCGCAGATGGGGTACATACGACATCATCTTTCTGAAATATTCACTAGTTTTGAACCTTTTTTTTGTTTTAGGACACTAGGCACTTGCTTTGGATTGTTTTTCACATTATTTCAGGCTAGATCTAGAGGTGCGGTACTATCACTTAGATAAAATCTGTTGGTGATTTGGCGGGAATTGAACCTAGGACCTCAGGGACGCAAGTCCCACGCTCTACCACTAGACCAGCTCGCTCCTCCGATTTTGAACCTTTAGGCCTCCTGTAATATAAAAACCACTTCATTGGAAGCTGTGTATTTTAGAAAAATTTTGAAATTGGTTTAAAATTGTATTAACAGTTTTTTTTTGCTATTTTTTATATTTATCAACACCCCACACATCCTTAGCTACAATTTAGTCTATCTAGGTAAACATTTTGTCTTTTTCTAAACAATAACATTTTAGTGCAATATAGTTAGAAGGCAATAGCTAGAGATTGATGTGGGTAGGCAATGTGTGGAGAAGAGAGGAACATTTGACAGAGTTGCTACCAGGAAAACTGGATGGCAGAATGGTTCCCTCGATGACCATACTCGTCAGGCACAATGGAAGACAGGACTGCTTGATCCTAATTCTGCTTAGTTTATAAAGCCACAAGTAAGTGGTTATTTAAACAAACATATTGAAGTAAAAAATATTGTGGAATTTAAATAATCTTTTGATTATTTGAGATCAGAATTACACACTACTATTTTGATCTGAAATATTGTACATGTATGCAAAGTTTTTTGGTTTTTAGCATGTTATTATTATTACTACACTACTAGGCCTACTACTAAACATAGAGATAGAAAAATAAATAGTACCTGGTAATAATATTATCATAAATATTTAATAGGTATTTAATAGGTCAGAAAAATATCCAAGATGTAGGAACCTCTGCATTACAATTACAATATAAACAAAGCCAAACACAATGAAAGAGCTATGTGTGGTGAAAGAGGCCAATAAAGACATCTCAAATTAAATATTAGTGTTTTTACAACCAACATTTCACATCTAAAACTCCATAAATCTTTTGTAATAAATATGTTCTAATAGTTACAATTTGAAACTGTGCCTTACCTAAGTAGCAGAATTGTTTTGTTTTGATCATTCAATAGCAAGTTTTTCTCTTTGCATGTTATCAGCTTCCTCAAAGATACTTCTTCTATAGCTAGCTTTGATTTGTCTTTCTTCTTTTTGTCAACTCTTGAACAAACCAAAATGTATAACTGTTATGCAAAACATTTGACGAGTAGTTTATATGCAAAATAATAAAGATAGAACTAGAAGGATAAAGCCAAAAGGAATGGAGCTAAAGAGGGTGGATAGATGAAGCAAAGAGAAATTAGGAGAATGAAGGAGTCATATGATAGTTGGAGACAGAATAGGAACTGTGGAAAGATAAAGATGAAGATGAAAAGCCTAACTAATGAGAATAACCAAACTGTGACAGTATGTATATGTAAATTAAAACAAATAAACTGGTAATTTATAGCAAACTACCAGTTTTAAGCTTTCAAGTGAAAATACCATTGTAAATTACAATAAAAAAATATTTTAAGAAATACATCTCTAATGAAAAGACTGAAGAAGTTGAGAATAAAATAAAAACATTACAAGTTTCTTTTTTGACTCTTTTAGCGAATTTCCCTATAGGGAAGTAGCTAATTTCCCTATAGGGAAGTAGTAGGTGGCACGGTAAGACCTAGACCCGGGACCGATTTACTTTTTCATTTTGATGTCCCCAGAGGCCAAAAACACCATTCGTTCAAATTTTTATATATGTATATATATATAGACATATATATATATATATATATACGTCCGTGAACGCGATAACTTGAGTAATTTTTGTCCGATTTTGATGAAATTTGGTTTAAAGGTGTAAAGCGGGATAAACTTGAATGAGATCGCGAACCAGCATGATCGGACCATGGGAACGGGGCTTTACGGGGGGTTTTATGGGGTAAAAATTGGTTTTTCTCACTTTTGACCCTCAAAACACAAAATTTCCCAATTTCTCTTTAGACCTTTTTAAAGAGCTTAAAAAAACAATTAATTTAGTATATAAAAGTATTTTTGTTCGGTTAATAGTAACGGAGAAAATTAAAAAAATTGTAAATTTAAAATTCCCATGTTATTCTTATGGGGAATATTGTAAAATGTTGTAGTTTGCTTGTTTATGGATAGGGTATATTTTGTATTTTGATCAAATTTATTTATTTTGTACTAAGCTATCAATATTTTACAAAAAAACACACTTTATTAGTTTCCTTGTAGCAGCAAACCTAGGTACTCGTTAAACCTAATGTTATTAAAATATATTTAATTGAAAATCAATTAAGACAAATGGAAATTCGCTTAGTCGGCAGGTTTGCTGCGGCGGGGGTATTTTTACTAGTGAATGAAACTTAGTACATTAAAGGGTAGCAATTTAATTAAACCACAAATTTTGGTTTGCAAAAATAAATTTACCTTGTAAAAGATAAATCAAATGTTGCTGTTTAAAATGAACTTACTAAGCCAGTATTTTTTATTTTGAGTTAGGTATGTGATAAAAAGTTAAATTTGCTGGACTAGAATAGAAATAGAAACAAATTGTAAGTCTTACTTCTCAGTGATTTCACTTTTTGATTTATCTTCAGTTTTAACTCTGTCTGTCGGCTTTCCCTTTGATTTATCATTCTTTTTGCCTTTTACTCCTTTTCCATCTGTGGTTTGTTCTTTTATTTCTTCTTTTTGTCCTTTTTGTTGCTTCGACTCATTTTGCTCAACAATATACTTAAAGCATTCAGGCTTAATGGATTTAAGGGTTTTCATACCAAACTATAAGCATAGTAAAAATAAGATTATATACAAAATATATGATGTTTATTGCTATAAATACATTGTTTCAACAGGTCAAAATATGTAGTTTCAAAGTTGGTGAAATCACAATAAGTAAAAAAATTGTAACCATCAAAACAAATTCTTCAAACTCTAGATAGAAATACATGGCTAGTTGCACACACACTCGTAATAGACGGCCAGTAAAAATCGGCCAATATTACACGATCGATGTGTACATTGTACAGCTTTTTTTCAGGCTTCAATCAGTGGTAGGCGTATGTGCCAGGTCCTCTTTACTTATGTGGAAACTAGTGAAATCTCTAAATCTCTATCTGGTCATAAAAATTGGTCTAAAATCAGTATGTGCAATTAGTAGATGGATTAGCGTCTTCAGCTGGTCCATTGGAGTCAGGGGTGCCCATGCCCCCCAAGGACAATAGCGCGAGTCCCCCGCAAAATGTAACCACCCCCCCCCCCCCAGTGGTGGCATCACAGTAGGAGGGGGCGCTCCCCCAGAAAATTTTTGAAATTTTAGACATAAAATAGATAGGTTTTTATCATTTGAGGCACATAATTAGAAGTTGGGTTGGTTAAAAAATGGTACGTTATTTTCTTTAGCTTAATTAGTATTGAAAACGTTGGTTTATCGCGAGTTTGTCGTAATTGAGTTTGTCTCTATTACTCTCCTTCCCAAACAATATACAATAAAAACAACAAAGACTCCCTTTGCTCACACTTGCCGTAAGCCAAGGTTTTTTCTCAAACCAAGAAGTGCAAAGTGTTCTAATTTTCTTAGGACCATCTTCTTGGTGAGATCCTTGCTTTTTAATAGGTAATTTTTCCTCCAGAGCGAGGTTAGAAAAGTTTAATGTCAAAAGATTATCCACTTCATTAATTTTCAAAAGCTAAAATTAAACGAAATTAAGTTAGGCCTACCGTGTGTCAATCATCACAACTGTGAGTTAATAGTATTAAAATATAACTAATATTTTGCTGAAAGTATAAATAATTCTATTAATTTAGTAGACTACTTCAAGTATTTTACTTAGTAGGTCTAGTCTTTCTGTTATGTCTACTCTACGTCTACTCTACTCGTCTACTAAACATGTTATTGAAATAGTAAATAATTAAAAACTAATAGGCATTGGCCTGCTCAAAACTATCTATCTACAAACATACAATTAGTCTGTAAATTTACAATTTAAATCATGGCAAGAACTGCATTTTTTAATAATAACTCACAATTCTGAAGATTGCAGTATCGTTGAAGTAGGCCTAACCCCATTTGAACCACGAACACCCACTTCACAATAACATCACCACACCATCATCACGCCTTTAAATTTAAATGATCACTAAAACCGACAAAATCGTAGTATAGCTACATACTCTAATAAATCTGTAATAATATCACAAAACTTTTTTTTTAAAGAGGTTGGCGGCCTATTTTTACCTTGCATTTGCCCGTCCACATAGACTAAGCGCCCGTGCGTGGAACGTTTACACACTAAAAGTGTGTGTTGTGTTTACTTACTAAAAGTGTTAACTTATTAGTTCATAAAATATTTCATACAACTACAACCCGTTTGCCGGTTGGTGTGCAACATAAACGTAACACGGGCGGCGGGAATCGGGATGTAAACAAAGTAACACTATAAGCAACACTCCCAGCGATAATAGATCCCACCACATTAGCGAATTTAGAGTACAAAGTAGTGGAGGGAGAGCTCACTTGCCACTCGGTTGCCGCCAGTACAGTGCTAGCGCATCTCACCGGCCATGTTAAACCTGACGAGTTGTGTTATGTTTTATATTTATGCTTCATTATGAGCACAACTTGTCTCTTAATGTCCATACATCATAAACATATTTATTTGTTGACAAAAATTTGTATTTTTTAATTTTCCCCCCCAAATCTAAAAAAACATCATTAAATCTCAAATTCCCCCCCAAAATTGAATTGTATAGCGCGGTTCGCGCTATCAAATCATTCTGTGGGCACCCCTGATTGGAGTGATGCTTGATCCATGTTCTTACCTTATACATCCCCCCCCCCCTTACTTATTATACTATTTTAATAAGACTATTGGTCGCAACATTTAAAAAGTAATGTAACGCTCTGGATAGATTTTTTACAACTATTCAAAATGTTGGAAATCATCTAGGTACAAAATCTTGAATCTTGAATATTATTCATCTAAATTATACCTTAGATTTAGATCAAAATAATTTAGTCCTACACTATTACATATAATAAAAAATATTTTAGGCACATACAGTTGTACTAAAAAAGATTATTACCACCGGATTTAAAAACAGCAGCTGAAATGCTTGAATGGTTTGATAAACATCTGCAGCACTGTGAAATGTTTCCACCAACATTTCTGTCAAGCACTCTTCAAATGCCTGAAATAAACAAACAGTATTATTATAAGCAAGTTTCCACACTTAAAGAAGTTATGATAATTACTAAAATGGCTACTGTACAACCTTCTCTGTTGTCTGTAACTCAGCAGATTCTCCTATGAGTTGGTAGGTATACATTTTGTTACTTTGTACCATACAACAGTCTAAGGGATTCCAGCATACTCCCCATACAGCTAAAAACAGATTAGTAGCTTTGCACAGTATCTTTAACCATAGACAAAAAGAGTTAAATATAGACCGTCAGCTGTGTTGCGGTTACCATTGGTTCTGGCGCACACCGCTGGGATCGCCACGGTAGTTACAGCGTACGCGCTACGTAAACTACAGCGGTGTGCGCCGGAACTTATGGTAACCATGGTAACCGCAGCACGGCTGACGGTCTATATTTAACTCTTTTTGTCTATGCTTTAACTCACCGCCCTGTTACTTTTTGTTTGGATTTAGAACCAGTAATATTTTTAATCAAACACTTTTTACCTAACCCTGTAGCAGCAAACCTAAGCACTTGTTAAATCAAAAGTTATTTAAATGGGGAATAAATATATATGTTTTGTTTATGGAAATATTTTAGTAAAAATCATGCTTAGTCCACAGGTTTGCTGCAGCGGGGGTATTTATAGTAACATTTATTTTTCTAATAGATTTATTTTACTCTTGATCATTCTAGTTACTCAATCATGAGGGACTGCTGTGGTGGTAGAAAGCGGGGCTTTGGAGCCCAAGGTCCTGGGTTCAAATCCCATCAACCACCAATGGATTTTATCCATGTGACAACGCAATCCTCTAGGACTAGCCAGATGTTACCTGTAAGAACATTTCTGGGCTAGAACATAGGTTTCTAAAATGCTAAGGTGTGACATAAAAAAGTTACTCACTGATACTAGCTCGATGTGCACATGAAACCACTGTGGCCAGGGAAGCCTAGTGGTGAGCAGCGGGGGCTCTAGGCTACACATCAGCTGTTGGTACGCCCCGCCGTGACCAGCCCCGCCGTGTGGAGCTGCTAGCAGCTGCTCAAACCTGCTGCTGATCTCCCCTACACAACATGCTTGTATTAACAACTTTGGTAAACAAACCTCCTAAAATAGTTATTTGTGTAACTAGTGCGCAACGTGGCACTTTGCTGCACACGAGAGAGGCGAGTGCGGAATGATCTCGAGTGCAGCAAAGTCCTTTGCACATTGTCCTTGTTACACATTATTTTTCCTACAGTCACTATAAAGCATATAAATAATTAGTCTTTCAAACACTATACAACACGTTTTTAGGTTCAGCTGGCAACACAAATAGGTGCCCTAGAGAAAGTAGTCACCGGTCCGTATCACTCCGCTATTTTTTCCTCGGCAAGCAATGTGCTCTGCGACTTGAGAAAATAGTTCCATATGCTTTGTCATTTGAAGTGGTTTCCGCACCTAAAAAAATGCTTTAAAGGTATTTTCTTGTTTATTAAGATCGTAGGAAATTTTAAAAACGTTTAAAAGAAAAGTCCAGAAAGTTCAGAAATACCAAAACTATAAACACAAAATGACAGGTTAAATTGTAGTTATAATAGTCAATCAGCTGCTCATAGTATTATTATCTTTAAGTGTTGCCAACCTATTTCCAAGAGTACACGGATTACATGCATAATAGAACCACACTGTTTTGTTTTGTTTCGTTGGAATCCTGATGTGCGCCAAAGTATAAACCGTACGACAAAGTATAAATATGCAGCAATTAGCAGCTTTCTGTACTATAAACATTACAAGGAAGCCAACTTTGTCGGGTGACTGTAGGAAAATATCTTTTTGTGTGTTTAACGCCATTGACATTTTTTACATTTAGAAAGGGAACGGTCCAAACCCTGGTCTTGTTACTATCTAACGTCGACCTTTTTGTTAGATAGCATCATTAACTCATAGCCCAATGACAAATGGCATCTAGGTCTGGAAACGATCTAGCTTGGATTTGAACCAGCGATCTTCAGATTTGAAGGTGAGCTCTACAATCACTCGGCTACCCAGACACTTCTGAAACTATACTTAAGTTATATTTTGTAGGTAAGTTACAGTGTCGCTCCTGGACATTCCATCCTCATGTTAGGGATGTCGCCAGTGTTTTAATCAAAATTTCCGTAGTTAATGTGAGCCACCAATGGATTGTGCTAATGCGAATTTCTGTTGATTACACAAAGTGTTGCAACAAGTCAAACCGATGGAACGACTTATTGTGAGCTATAGCAACTATTGAGACTAATCAACTTGGTCAGCAACAATAATTAAGATAGAAAAAAGAATTTTAGATTAGCGCATTCTGTGACAAGCTCACACAACTATGTTCTTTTTTATAAAAAAATGGCAACAGCTGGTCCATATGGATCCAATATTCAATAGTCAATGGTCTCACTCTGTAGGAAGTTGGGCAAGTCAGAGGAGACTGCAGATCACCTTTTTCGTTCACTGTGAGGGTGCGACTCTTGACAATCTGGTAAAAGATAGACACCTTCTTGAGAAGGGTGAGGAAAGTCTCTGAATGTTTTGTCAGAACTGAGATTGCTTTTTATCAATTATTTGTATATCTAAGCATTTTATATTCTTTACTTACGTCCATAAAACTTGAATGATAAAGAATCACTCCCTAAACTCTGCTGTATTGTCATTTTGGAACCACATTGGAAATAAGAGTTGGAATAAATCTGCATACAAAAGTACGCTGGAAACTGATGCCATATTCTGACCACTCGTAACCTGTGAAAACAACATTTAATTTTCAAATACCAGGTCAACAATACAATACACTAACTGTGCTAGATTGGTGCACGAGTTGTTTCTAAGTTTTTGGTTATAATTTTTTTTTCAATTAGTTGTTTTGGATCCAATGAGGATCTTTTATTTCAGGGTCCTTTTTTTGTACACTGATCAAAATAGAATGAAGATATTCTATTAAGAGAAAATCTTGGGCAAAAGATGTACGTTACAGCAGAACCCCTCTTATCTGTCTATGACGGGACAGGCAATAGTCGGAACAGCCAAAAAGTCAGATATAGGGAGGAGGAAAAAAACTCTTATTTACAAGTAAGCATGTTTATTTATTCCACAAATGAACAATATACGTAGCAATGAATACATATTATGAAATCATATTTAGCCAAAAATGTGAGTAAGTCAGTTGGACACTAGGTCAGATATCCCGAGGGGTCGGTTATGCCAAGGTCATTTATAAGAGGTTCTACTTTTTAGAGAGGTTTTTAGAGATTTTATTATAAAAATGAAATTCTCTTTTATCTTTTTTAAGTTTAGAAAGATAAAAAAACAAATATGAAAGTTGCAGTGAAATACTTTGTAGTTTTACTGAGACCAGCTGTTTCTTTAGCTAGGTTTATTTACTAAAAGCCATGATCAAGGACACCTAGGTCCGGTATCGAACCATAAAAAAGGTTCGATAAGGTGTAGAAGCAGGTATTTAAACCAATTTACATAAAAAAGGAGCAAACCGGCAGCCCTCTAACTGGGCGAGCACTATACCACTTAGCTGCCTGGCTAGCACGCATACCCTGGTGGCAGAAGGAAGAAGCGAGCCGAAGTGGCAGTGGTCGACATGCGGGTAGTGATGGGAGCAACGCAGGGGCTGTGCCAGTCAAACTTGCCGATGAAGATGATAGCGTGTGAAGGACCCTCAGGGGAGTAGCCACTCACACAGCAGAGTACCTCCTTACTGGCCATGGAGTCTATCACTGGAGACAGTTTAGGAACACATCTGACATGTCTATGGGGTTTTAAAAATATTGTTTCTTGGTTCTAGCCCAGAATTGTTTTTCACATTACTATACCTGAAGTTACGTAGAAAGAATTCAGGGTTAGAACCTAGAGAGATAAATAAAAAAAATCTGTGGAAAAGAGTTCATCTTGGTAAAAGACAAAATAAAAGTTTACACTATACACAAAAACTAGAATATTCCACTGCCATTGAGGGTGTTGTCAAACAAGTGGACCATTGTAAAAGGATACACAAGTAGAAAAAGGAAGATTTCCTTAAATTTTTTGGCCAGTCTTCTTTAAATTTTGTTACATCTTCTGTCCCTTTTCTTTTATTAATTTTCTTGTTTGTTCCTTTGATATGGGACCTAGTAGACAGATTGGCAGGATCTTCTATTTTTGCCTTTTTAGTCTTTGTACTCTTGGTATCCTCCCCTTTATCTTTAGATGAAAGCTTTTTCCCAACAAACAAAACGTCTTCAGCAGTCTGCAATGGTAAAACCAGTTCTTGTTCTGACCAAGCTCTCAAGCTATACTTGAAATATGAGGGTTTGTAGTACACCTTTATAGCCCTGAAAGGTAAAAATACACGTTTTTAAATTTTTGTAGATATTTAATTATACACAAAACTCAATAACATATGATATGAGACATTAGAAAAGGTACTTTTTGAATTGATTGAAAGTTATTTAATAGTTTTTAATAGTGATTGAAAAAGCTACTTTAACAAGTGCACACAAACAGGTAATTTCAGAAAACAGATTTTAATATTTTAAACAATACACAAAAAAAATTAATTTGAATGTTTTTTTATGAAAAAGGTCCAATTTACCAATTAAGTTACAGTTTTACTACCAACCACATACTAACTAAATTCAACGACAATAGTCTTCTTAACTAAGACTAAATAAAAATGTTACATTCATGAAATTAAGTACTGTAATGTTAATGGTTTAAAATTACCACAATCTAATAAAACATTAAATACCTCACATTTTGAAAAAAATCCTCAAAGTCTAACCAATCATCATTTTTGTCACGAGAGCCATCCTAAAAATAATCCATAAATGTTATTTATATGATGTTATAGAAAAGTGAACTTGGTTCAACATGGTAAAGTACTGTATATCAAATAAACTAAACTAAAATCACAAATATTTCAAAGTATTTTTATTTATCATAAACGTAGATGTATGGATTGTAGATTGTTTCAAAATTTCTAGACACTGTACAAAAAGCTAGATACAAGTACAAAACCATAGTAAATGTTAACATTTCTTGTAGTGTAGACACTGATTTTTTTTAGATTTTATTTGGGTACAAAATTGTGATAGCTGTTAATAATATTTTAAAAAGCTATGGTAAATTTTCTCTCTAAGAATATTTAACAACTTTTTATGAGTTAATTGTATCAACTAGAAGAGTATGGAAAAATTTCAAATCATTGAAGATTCTCAAAAAGGAAATACTTATCATCACCAACCATTTATTATTTTTTAAATGAGACTTATATCTACGATTTAGTCTGAAATGGACTATTAATCCATTTATTTTCAAAAGCAGAACTGACCAAAAGATTTTGAGTCACACAAAGGTTAACACATTCTTTTCAAGATAAATTATTTTCCATAGCAATTTAGTTGGATATTTTACAAAATATTGTTTGAATATTCAATTACTTATTATATTCACTGCTGTTCCATGTGATAAAATTTCTAATTCTTTCAGGCATTTTAAATTGAGGTTTTAGTTTTGAATTAGATGTGAATTCATTACCTGTTCAGTTTCGGAAAAACAAAAAATTCATCTCATCTTTTTTTAAGAACCACAACCATATACATTTTTGTGAGACTACACAATCACAAAAAATTTTCTTAAACAAACAATTAAGTGATAAAACTTTTTTAACACAAACGGTTTTATATATAAATACCCCCGCCGCAGCAAACCTGGAGACTAAGCGAATTTCCATTTGCCTGATTGGATTTACACTAAAATGTCTCCATAAAAATATCACATTTATTCCCTATTTAAATAGATTTAGTTTAACGACTACTTAGGTTTGCTGCAAAAGGGAGGGTAAAAAAGTGTTTTTTTAATGTTAATAGTTTAGTATGAAATAAATTCATTTTCCAAATTTGATCAAATGATCAAAATATGTTCATAAACATGCAAACTACAACAGTTTACTTATCCTCCACAAGAATAACATAGGAATTTTAAATTTACAATTTTTTGAATTTTCTCCGTAGCCATTAGGCACATAATAACGCTTCAATATACTAAATTATTTGTTTTTCAAGCTCTACAAAATGGTTTGGAAAGAAATGGCAAAATTTTTTTTGTAAAAATGGGAAAACCCAATTTTTACCCTATAGACCCCCGTTTCCATAGTCCGATCATGCTGGTTCGCGAACTTGTTCGAATAAATGTAGGTTTACCATGAGTACTACGGTAATAACTTATTCCCTATATGGGAAATTCGCTAAAACTTAACTCACCCCATTTGACAATTCCTTGTTTTCCATTAGAGGATTGTAGATTTGAACATTTCTAACAGGCTTGTTAGGGATTTCTGTATGGAATAGAAATTTACAACAATTAAACTAATAAAAGATGTATAATTATCAGTAATGAATGTATAGTGCATAATAGTGCATAAATATTATTTATTTATTTCAGTTTCAAATGGTTGATTCAGTGGTAACAAAGGATCTTTTGAAAATGAATAGTGTTCAGCTAGCTTACCTGAGAAAACAAGAGTCCAGGAGCTAATAGCTACATAATAAAAACCATCTTTCAAACTTAATTACAAACTACTGATTTTTCTCTACAACCTTTATGAAGATTATGGATTATGTATTACAAAAAAAAAACATACTATTAAACACAAGGATAAAATGAAAAGTAACACTAGTATCACAATGTTTAATAATAAATAGTGAACATAAAAAATAAATTTTCTCTAAATTGCAAAAATTATAATTTTAGTAAAAACTCTCTATGTCACTAAACCATCCATTTTTTTTTTTTTTCAACGCCAGTGGCATTTCACGAGAGTTGCGAGAGATAAATGTTCAGTGGATGTGCCGGGGATTGAACCCGTCCCTCCCGCACCAAAGTCCGAGACGCTAACCACTAGGCTAGCAACACAACCATTGAAAATTTAGTAATGTGTTTCCGTAAGTTATTTTTGTTGTTTGACTGTGTTTGTACATAAGGAACATGTACAAATTTACCAAGATATTGAACTATCTAAAACTTTTAAAAACTTGGTTAAAATTTAAATTGGGTTTCCCATTAAGACCCAACCCTCCAGGTTCCTATGGCTTTTACAACTATTTTCTTAATTGAGCCCCCTAACCAGTTAAGACATTTTTATCTTAACTTCAGTAACATAAGCAAACCACCAAGTTATGCCTGGGGCTGTTTTACGTATGGTAGGCCCTAGTAGCCTATATCTGATCTTACCTGTTATGATGCCTTTGTTGAAGGCCCACTCATTCCAGCGGTATTGCTTCCATCCAGGGGAGGCCTGATCTCTGTCGTATCTCACATTACCAATCAGGACAGTATGTTCCAGCATGTTGGAACCCTGCAAATAGTACAAATTGTTGTAGATATATACTGTGTAACAATAATTGAGATTTATAAGAATGCCCCACATAATCAAGCCATTTTCATGATGGAATGGTCTCTGGATTGTTTGAATTAACTAATAGAGGTTTATATTTCATGTACTTGGTTACTCAAAATTGGTTAATCAAAACGATCCTTAGTAGTTTACCAAGACTACAGCTGTTTAGTGTTGCGGATGGAGCACATCATCAGGTCAGAACGTCAGCATGTACCATATTCTTCATGGTGTAGTTCATCAGAAGTTTTGTACTATAAAGCGACGTTGATATGTATTTGTCATTGGACTGTCAAATAATTTGTTGTCCAACAAAAGATCGAGATGAAATACAGCAACCAGGAGACTGGCCGGGGTTGGACCTTACTAAATATGCCAAAAATTCCAAAGGACTTAAAACACACACAAAAATTAGAAGTCTGATTATGATGTACCTTGGAGGCAATGACAGCCAGAAGAGCCCGCGACGAGACAGCTGATTGATTGTTCTGTGGAATTGTGAATTCCTCATCACTTCTGCAACATCCCGGAGACTCTACAATCTCCTCCGTAGTAGACATCAGCTGACAACACACACACCACAGCTGGTACTTGCTGCAGCCCCTACGTAGTAGAAAATATCAACATTGCAGTCTGTTGTATTCAGTGGCAGCTCCAAGAGGGGGGCTATAGGGGCTAAATCCCCCCCTCCTTTTACCTTGGAAATATAATTTGTCAAAAAACGTAACAGAGGTTTTTGGTTTTTGGACACAGTTTTAGACGGTAAAAACTGCTTAAGTCACCAAACGGCTTTAAAAATAGCAAGGTTTTCGGGGGAAGACCCATGAACTTTTGGTGTGGAACACCCCCGTTAGCCCCCCTTCCTTGACCAGGTCCTAGAACCGCCACTGGTTGTATTTCTATTTTCTCCCCTATACATAGTATAGACCTATGGAGAAAATTTTGTTATCGTCAAAATATTATAGTTTGAGTTTTGTGTGATAATCTCCATTTTGGGTCCCCCTGAACCCAAAAAGTTGTTTTCAAAGTGTTGTGTGTGAGTGAATGTGTATAGAGCTAGACAGCATATTGTATGATTTTGATGAAATTTGGTATGTGAGTACTGATCTATGGTATCCCATGGTATTTTTTCAGTTTTGAGCGAATTTCCCATATAGGGAATAAGCTATTACCGTAGTTCCCTTGGTAAGACCTAGAACCGGGACAGATTTACTTTTCTTTTTGAGTTCCCCAAGAGGCCAAAAACACCATCCGTTCAAATTCATATATAGGCCTATATATGTGTGTGTGTGTGCTGTGTGTGTAAGTTAGCGTGATAACTCGAGCAAAAATAATCCGATTTTGATCAAATTTTTTACAAACGTGTAGGCTAATTCTAGATTTTCCCCATTTTTAACCCTAAAACATAAAATATTTGTAATTTCTCTCCAAACCATTTTGTAGAGCTTAAAAAAATAAATAATTTTGCATATTGAAGCGACGGTTACAGATATAATTTTAAAAATTGTAAATTTAAAATTCCCATGTTATTTTTATGGAGAATAAATAAACTGTTGAAGTTTACTTTTTTATGGATTTTAAACAAATTTGGAAGCAGCAAACCTAAGTACTTACTACAATTAACGTTAATTAGATAGGAAATAAATCTGACAATTTTTAGGAAATATTTTAGTAGAAATCCAGCCAGGTAAATGGATATTCGCTTAGTCTGCAGGTTTGCTGTGGCAGGGTTTTTATAAATTTTGGGTGATTTTTCCATAAAAACCCATTACATATTTTCATAAAAACGGCAATTTTGGATAAAATTAGAACGTTATAGTACTTTTAACTCCAAAGAAAATGGTACAGCCCCAATTGCTGTAAAAATTACGTTTCAAAAGTTATTGCAATTTTTGTGATTTTCCTCATAAAATATGATAAGTCACTCCCACTGCTTTCCTATGGTAGGTTTATGATTGACAAGCTAATGGGAGAATGTATGTGTTTCCAGCCCCAGTAAAACACTACCGTACAGTTTTAAGACTCACTTGCAAGAGATTACAGTCTTTATCCATCCGGTGAGACAATGTATGACGCCGAAGTCAGCACCATGACTAAGACAGGACACTTTCAGCAGTGCCTTTGAGAGCAGCGGCAGCCACAGATTGTCTGGACGAGACACAGGCAGCAGGATCTGACCTTGACTGTCCACTGGTAGCCTGTCATCCACCAGGATACGACGCCACTTACCCTACCATACAACCAAAGTAGACCTACAGAAACTTCTCTCAGAATATTGTTGAATCCTTTATTATTTTTTGTGTTATCGCTTCTTGGAACCTCCCTATGTGAATGAATAGATAAATGATTTGATTTCCATTAAAGTTCCCAGTTCGTGAAATATTATTGTTGGAAATAATAGTTGTTGGAGTTCATCATCTTATGCAACTCAAATAAAGGAACAAGAAATGTCTGACTTGAGTTTATTTGTTTGACACCTAATTAATTGGTCCATCCCAATCAAACAATCAGGTAATTAATTTTGAATTAGAGTTTAAAACAAATAACTATCCTTGGATAAAATCAGTTATTTAAATGTATCCTCTCCCTACGATTCTCTTTGTTTTTGCAACTGGAATATTTCAGTAACGGAAGTAATTCCTTATGCACCCACCCAACTATCCATCTGACATAATAGCAGGAATTTTTCATCTTACCAAGAAAAACAGTCGAATAAAATATTTGCCGGAAGGGTTGAACTGTGGATGATGTTTCTGGTCCTTGCCTGCTGCTGTGAGTGCGTAAACATGATGCCAAGGCTTCCACTCCGCTTCTCCATTGGCCGTGAACTGATCCGACTGAAACTCTATGGGAAACGGACGACAAAAAGACTCTCTCTCCAAACAGGATATACTGCTTATTATTTTTCTCATTATCTGTAAAGAAAAAAAACTTATATGATTTTAGATAAAACCTTTACTTATCTTTGACATTTATGCTGTTCACAAACTATCTTATACCCCACCACTGATCAAAGAATGAAATATATACATTTGGGTACACGATTTGGCTGAGTTATAAATGTGTTTATGAGTTTATAATTACAGATTTTGAGCTTTTTTTTACTTTTACAAGTGAAGTATAGAAAGGAATATACGATGAAGTCTTCATAGCACGTTTAGAGAATATTTCAAGAGGTCCTTCCAAAAGTTTGGTGAGTTATGAGATTAAAAAAAAAATTTTGCCATCTTAAAAAATATTTTTAAGAATCTTGTTGCCATACATGACTGGCAAAAGCACAAATCATCCCCATCAAGACAACATATTGAGCTAGGTACTTTAGTTTCATTAGTTCCATATAACAAATATTTATAAAGATTTAACTAGTGACAATTGACATTTGAAATAAGAGTGAATTAGCCAACTGCCTCAGAGAAACAAAGGAACACTTAATTAACAGTCCATATTTTTTTATTATAAAAAGGGGTGGTCAAAACAGAAACTTCTATGATTCTCTTAAAAGATACCTCTGGCCCTCCAAGAGTGTACAAACTAAGGATTAATGTTCATGAAATCACTTAGCCTGAATAGTTGAAATCATAGTTTGGTAAACAAACATTTAGGCCTGGACTCCTACTGGATTTAAAAGTTTAGACACCCTACCATTGATAAAAAATTATACAATTGACTTTTGGATAGGTACTGAAGTAGACATTTCACCTATATGGAGCATCTGTCGCTAGTTTTTATTAAAAAATTCATGTGAGCCAGTCACAGAATGTACTAGTGTCTAAAGCTATTTTTCTACCTTATTTTTTGTTGCTGGCATAGTTGATGGGTCACAACAGTTACTATAGCTCACAATGAGAAGTTCCATGAAATTGAATTGGTACAAAAGTTTGGGTATTCGACAGAAATCAGTAATTTAGATCAGCACAATCCGTCAGTGGCTCACATCAACTAAGACAATTTTGATTTTAAAAACCGACGTCAGCTTTAACATAGGGATTTAACGCCCAGTTGTATCAATCAAAAAGGCTATACTACGGTCAAAGGCATTCTACGGAAAGTACCTCTATATGCAGAAGGTGTTTGTTATGAGTAACAAGATCAAGCGGAGTGGAGTCAGGCTCGATGACATAACTTATGTCAGCGTCTATCTCGTGGGGATGTCTCCATGCATGTACTTGCACATCCGGTATATCAAACAATCCTGGCTCTTCAAACACTTCATCTGACTGTAGGATGATAACAATGTGTTATAAACAAAACCATCTTATAACCTGTAAGATCAATTAGAAAACTAAACTAAGATAAGTTATTATTGTTTTAAGAAAATAGAAATAAATACAGATGATAGCTTAGTATCAACAATTATTTTCATGTTACCATTAATATTTTTATGACCAGATATATATGACGATGACACACCACACGGTGCATATTTTAAAGAAGATGAGCGTAGTAACTGACTGATTTAAGTTGTTTCTTTAGCCAGGGCAATTTTTTAAAAGCCCAAGTCTCAATAATTGATAAATGATAGGTGGGTCGGTGGCGTCGTCCTGTAATCCAGCTACTAGGAGGTCACGAATTGTGGATATTTATAGGCATGCACTGTGGATGCGATGCTCCCTGATGTATATTAACATCCGCACTAGTGAGTACTACGACTATCCGCAGTACTATCCTGATAATTAATTTGACCAATTCATTACAAGGAAAAATGTGGTTCTGATTCCTCCGCTATAAACTGTAGGTCCCCTGTATGGGCTATTGATTCTTTTTTTTCCTAGGACGCTAGGCACGAGCCTGGAATTGTTTTTCACATACTTCAGGCTGGTTACGGCTTTATCACTTAGACAAAATCCATTGGTGATTTGGCGGGATTTGGACCCGGGACCCCAGGAACCGGAGTCTCGCGCTCTAACCACTTGACCAGCTCGCTCCCCCAATGGGCTATTGATTAACAGCTGTGTCTCAGGAACAAGTCGGCCTTAGTCAAGTCACTAACAAGACTACAAGATTGTGCCACTCATCCTACACTCATATTTGGGTTAAAATATGCACATAGTGGTGTCCCCATCTTCAATAATTGATATAATTGATATCAGTTAGATTCAAACCATCAAGAAGGTTAAGGTTCTGACTTCTAAGGATCGAGCCTAAAACCTTCTGATCACTAGGCAAGCACCAGATTCACTCGGCTTTTTTAATTTTGATGAACATAACTCAATAATGTTGTTAGCTTTTCCCCCATTTTTGTCCTATTATTTTATTGTATTTGAATTTTTTGTAATGTAACAGTAATTCAATTCATCTCTTTTTTTCTCTGGCTAATAACCTACCCGGAGCTACAAAACCCATAATTCTTCCCCCATAGACTGTTGATCTAACAACAACAATTTAGTTTTGGGCAATTAGTTTTGAAACAACTGTTCCATTTTCAAACTTCTTGTCGCCTTGTGTCAAATCATTTAACACATTGGCATTGCCAATATACAAAAATACAACATCAAACACACACAAACTAAGATTCTTATGGTAACATAAAAGAATGCGCAGCCAGCAATAACACGCATGACAAAGGACACGACTCCTTCTTGTATTTTGATGACGACAATGTGTTTAAACAATTCTACCAAAAAGTTTAGTTGCCTGAGACTAAATTAGGATTGAAGACGTAACGACGTAAGCCATATTGTCATAAATCAATATCAATCCTGGAGGCAATAATAAAAAAATTAATACTTTCTTAAACATTCCTGTTAACCATTGTCCTTAAGAAATTGTATCTAGACAGAGATGAAATCTCTGAGCGCCAACCATTGCCTCTCTCTACTTATAACCAGAGATGGTTGATTACTACAGTGATTATTACCTCGGAAGCCAGTTTAGCCTTGATGTTTGGTGAGAAAGAGACCGCAGATATTGAGCGTCTGGTCTGTCTACTCCATTGTAGGTTGTTGATGTATGAATCACTCCATTCCGGCCAAGGTGGAGAGTTGTGATGATCTGTGTGATCAAAAGTCACCTTCGTTGGCTTGTCAGATGTCATTGCTGGTGAAAGGTATAAAAATATTCACCTCAACAATCACTCATTAAAACCTAAAAAGTAGGTCAGTGGTTAGAATCTTGCTTAACATTCATTGCTGATGAAGAGAGGCATTTTTATGCAAGTGGATACAATGCTCTGTTAGGAGTTTTTTAGATCATCTAATCACTGGAGGGTAACGTTTACTATTTTTTGGCCAGCTGTATATTTTTTAAATTTATTTTGTAAATATTGATTTTGATATATTTTCAAAGAACTATTACATACAATAAATATTATGTTGAATTAAAGTGCTGAAAGGATACGAGTTGAATGAAAGTTTGATAAACATTGGAAAAGTAAATTTTCTATTGTCGAGATGTCCTTTTAAATTTTTTTATACATATAGTTTAGATGCTGATATTAGGCTTACAGTTTTTAATTTTTTTTTCAAATTATTTCGAATCACAATCAAAGAGCTAGCCACTCTTAAAGCTGAAAATTTCCTACACTGAAATGGTGTGTTTGTAAAAAATAACTACGGATTTAATACATAAAACCTTTAAGCCACTCAAACCATATAAAACTGTCTCTGATAAGGTAGAAGAAACAGTTTTATCGTAAATAAATATATCAAATGGATTTTAGCGGATAGAGTCCTTTAATAAGGGTCCTTTTAATTCTCCTTAATTGAAAGACCTATTCTTTTTGTTTGCTCAAACGTGGACCTACAGCCTAGGTGGATAATGGCATCAACACACAAGCCATTGATGATTGAAGTATTTGAACCTGGGACCTTACTCAAATCAATAATTAATTTTTCTTTTAGACAGCCAACGCAATTTATCAAGGATTGCTGGCCCCAGTTTCAAATAATCCCCCAGCTACTGACTTTACCTCAGGATCGAACTGGCCACCTTTTGATTGTCCGAAGAGCACGATAATCACTCACCTCCTCACCAGTTATTACTACTCAACTACCCTATACATTATCGTTAAATTTTAGGTATCGCTGTAAGAGTCCTCTTTTCTTTTCGTAGAAGTTTTTAGTAGTCAACCACAAGTTATGTAATATAACTAAATATTAAAACCTTAGTAACACCAATACACTTCTCGCTCATCAAGTTATGCACAAGCCTGAAATATGGTGCAACGATACAATTGATATAGCTAACTCATGTTATTTTACCTCGGTTTTACTCTATTTCGTGTCTTTAAATTGTTAGAAACAATCTCAAACTGAACTGGAGATTCGATTAGCCTAAATTATTTTACAAAAATATTTTTAATCACTGAATACTTATTTTTTGGCTAAATGGCTTATTGGGAGAACATCTGCAAGAATAAAAAATTGTAATTTGGGAAATTTGTTGAAAACACGAGATAGGGCCATAGAGGTACATAGGCCTATTTGGTTTCACATTAGATCAAACTTAATTTTTTATTATTCAAAACTGTGCATACTATACTATTCACTGCTAAAGTTTTGAAAATAAGGAGCTGATAACAATGCTCAATTCGTGTGAATGTTATATTCTCTTGAGAGTTAGGTCCGAATATACTGGTAGCACCATATCATAAATAAATAAATAAATCTTTATTGTCACATAACGTTTACATAATATAGTAATGCTATAAAACAGGTGACATTGTCAAAATACAATACCTTAAGACTAAGGAGTTATAAAAGACTAAAATAAACTAAAACTATAAAAATAAAAATGGTATAAACAAAATGTATAAGTTAAAAAATTTAGTTCAAACAAATTTATTTTTACACAACCTCAATGATCAGTTAAGAACTCATCTATACTGTAATAGGTTTTTCTTAAAAGAAAATTAGTAAGGCTGCTTTTGAAATGCTTGGACTGTATTTTGTTCTTTAATTTTTGAGACTGTTAACACAGTTAAGACAGTTGAGACAGTTAAGATGTATGTCGGGGGTTTTTTCTACAAATGAAAGACGATGCCGCGGATATTGAAAGTTAGTTTTAAACCTAGTATCATACCTATGCTCAACGTTTTCACTACATAATTTTTCAAAATTTCCTTCTACCATCAAGTGTTTTAAAAATTGTCAAACTCGGAACAGTAATTGCTCCTAATTCTTTAAAAATTGGCTTACATGATGTTCTCAATGGTGCAAATGTCATTATTCTTAAATTAATTTTCTGAATCTTAAAAATTAAATCAATGTTTGATGCAAAGCCCCAGAATTCAATTCATTGAAGAATTGAATAGAAGTATGCATAGTATAACATTAAACGAGTTTTTAAGTCCATTTTGTTTCTTAAACATATCATTTGATAACAAGTAGAATTCAGTCTACTTATTAAATTTTCAAGGCTTTAGTTCCAATTTTAATTTGAATATACGTACAAACCGAGAAATTTTGCATCATCGTGAACAGCTAAATTTTGGTCTTTAAACTCTTTTGCATGAGCAGTACAAAACTTTACCAGTTGGGTTTTATCTTAATTCATTTATAGACCATTAATGTTGAACCACTGTTCCAGTTCCCATAGGGCTTGTTTAACTTTGAGCGGTAATTCTGAATCATTTTTACATTTGACAACTGCAGTTGTATCGTCGGCATATAAGGTAAGGTTGTTAGAGACATTTTTAGGCAAGTCATTTATATACAAAATAAAGAGTAAAGGTCCAAGAATCGAGCCTTGAGGAACACCAACTGTAATCTTTTCCCATTATGATATTGATTTTTAATTATTTATCAAGATTATTGTTCTTTGAAAACAGTTTGTTAAGTAGGAAGTCAACCATAAGACAGATATTTTTGAAAATTTATAAATATTTATCTTTTTCAAAAGAATATCATGGTTGACACAGTCAAATGCGTTGGATAGGTCACAAAACACATTGTGCTCTGTGACCCATCCAAAGCCCATGAAACCTCACTAATAAAATCTGATAAAGCTTTCATTGTGCTTAAACCCTTTCTAAAACCAAATTGTTCACTAGCCAAAATATTATTATTTTCAAGAAATTTGAGATTTGTTTGGATGCTACAGTAGTTGTTAAAATACTGGTGAAAATGATGGTAGAAGGGAAACTGGTTTTGTCCGGATTTTGTCTCTCGCCCTTCTTAAAGAGAGGTTTGAGCTCTGCATTTTTTAAATGATTGGGAAAAGAGTTTGTTTGAAAATATTGAATTATAATTATAGATAAAGGTTCAGTTATCAATTTATAGTTTCAAAAATTTTCATAGAAATCTGAAATGTTATTTTGGATTTTCTATTTGGTTGGAGTTTAAAAGAGCATTAGAATCAGAACACAAGTATAAACAGTAGTATAAATATTTTTATTACAATATACACATAATATAATGTACAATATATCAAAGAGTTATTTATAATCACAAAAATTCTGAAATAAACTTTCAGATGGCTTGCAGTCAAAAGAGATCTCCTAAACAAAGACAATACTCCTTATCTAAGAAATTTAAAATTTTTCTTATTTTTAAGATCTAGATGGACCTACTTTACCTACAGCTAAGTTTGGCTTTGAGCTATCATGGCACAGCAGCATTTATTACTTGGCTGATTTACTTAGGCCGGGTACAGACCAAAAGCAACCGGTGATATCAATGCCACAGCAACTCAATTCAGTCAACTGGAGTTTCTTTTAGATTTTCACCAATGAACATACAAAAGGAACCCAAGTTGACAAGTTGTCCAATGACTTGTACGCATATCTTCGTCCATGGAGGAGGCAGTTCTTATATAATATATAAGATATTATATAATATCTTGTATTATACTGTTATGAGTAAATTTAGAAATTATATTTAATTTTAAATTACTATTACATAAATTTACACCGGGCCCTGGTGTGAAAACTTTTGTGACCTGATGTAAAAAGCATTATTTTCATCAGTTAAAGAAAAATGTAGTATTTAAAAACAAAATTTAAAAAATAATAATTTACAATGTTTATTTAATCCAATCAAACACTAACGTTACATATTACAAGTAATTCACATGCAAACGGATAGTTATTGAGTTACCTTAACAGATGTAGACACACTAAGAGATAAATGGAAATTAATGAATTATAAACAGTCAACATAAAAATAATAATCCAACAAAATATAAATTTATTTGAATAATAGAAACAAAAATATATTTGAAGCAATAAGTAATAGATATATTTACACAAGCATAAGCTACATGCTCTTAAAAAACTATTTAAAAATAATAAGGTTATACTCAAAGTGTTAAAAAATTAGACTAGAAACTCATTGTTTAAAGTAAGCTCCTATTACACTTTTGAAGTTTAATCTTTAACGATAGGCATTAATTATATCCCTAAAAATTATTAAAAGATGAACGAATAGGCTGCAAAAATCTACATTAGGGCATCACCAGTACTAATTAATAAGGGATAAAAAAGCATCATTTGCTGTACCTATACTAAAAAATTAAAAATGCTTTGGCCTATTTTAATTCAAACAAACAATACTGGAAAAAAAAATATTGATAAAATACTTCTCAAAAAACTTTTGGTAACTACAAAACAAACATAAAGTCATCCAAACCTACATTACTGTAGATCTCTACCATCTTAGAATCGGCTATTGAGCTCATTTAGTTTCTTCACAAGCAAGTTACCAAACGATTGATCATACGATGGACTAACAGCACTCAACAGCGAGTAAGGGGTCTCGTAAAACCTACAGTTTAAGTTTTCTAAGGATATATCATCGTAAGCGTTTCCGACAACTTGGAATCCAGATGGACCGAGCAGCACACACAGCCGTTGGCTCTCTAGTGTTGTGATGTTGATGTAGACACCTCTGGACGGGAGTGGCACAGCCGACAGTTGAATGTTCTTCACGTGAGCTCGAACATCTTGAATGACTGCAGCCGCCTCCGCTTCCCAGTCAGGCTCCTCCCCCTCCATTTCTTGACAGCAAACACGTTTCTTTTAAATTCACATCATAGCCCATGTTAAGTATCTACCGTGCATGCTGAAATTGCTTTAATGCATTTAAGAATAGGATAGAAATCAAATTTAAATATATCACTGCGCTCATAATGAAGTCTCAACAAGATTGAAAACAATTTTCAAAGCTATGCATCTAATTAGGTTATTTTCAATATCATTCAAAAATATAAAAATCCTGTCATGTACCAATGAAAGTAACTGTCATTTAATTGTAGACTTAGGCTATGTTTTTTATAAATCGTTTAAAACCAAGGCTATTATTGCACGATTCAGGTAAAGACCAGATCTTAAATTAGTGCATTAAAAAAAATAATCCAAAAAACATAAGTGAAAAAAATTAATCAGGCCCCTAAACAAAGAGTTCTTGTAAAACCCCACTACAAATTTAATTCAATACAGTTTCTCAAGAGAAGTAAGTAACAAACGTAGGTCTACACTAAAGGCTAATTGCCGTACACATGCTTTATGTGTAAGCTTTTTCACTAAATCTTTGCTAGTGCAGAGGTAACCTCTGCTGTGCACATAACAGAAGGTTTTGGGTAAATGTTGTTTAACGTTTATATCCTACTAATAGCTAAATAAAAGTTAAGAGGGATTTGAATACTTAACATCTTGCTTTACTTCTAATTAATACCTTACATTACTTTAACCAGGCAATACGCCATAAAGGAAGACTATGGGAGTAGAACTTTATTTCCGTATTAATTACTAGTGCTACGTAGTTGATCAGCATTGCTGGATAAACTGCGTCAATTTTTAAAATAAATATTTACAAAACAAACAAAAAAGCAAACTTGAATCACACAAGGAATAAAAAAAAAACAACTTCAAATGGTATTTATGGTATTTCACAAACTCGGCATCCTTCCAGTCCACATTACGCCGAGTTTGTGGGACTCTACTGTAGGCCTTATAAGTTTCCTTTTAGCAGCAATACTCGTTAAACCTAATGTTATTTAAATAGTTTTAACCCTTTGAGGTTGAATTTTTCCCCATTTTCGCTGAGTATAGTTTGCTATTAGAGCAGTTGGGAATATGGCACCCTGTGACCTATACTCACCATTCAACTGCAAAAGTAAACTTTTTTGATTTTAGATTTTTATTTTTTTTTTGTATAGGTCGCTATATTCGAGCAGTTGGGAAAATGGCGGGCGGCGACCAATAGGCCTACTCGCCATTCGACCGCAAAGAATTAATTGAGAATCAATTCAGACACAAATGGAAATTCGCTTAGTTGCAGGTTTGCTGCGGCAGGCGTATTTCTTTCTTATTAATTAATGACTTCATATTGGCATGACTTTGATATCTCCTTCATACATAAATCGCCTTCATTGGATGAATAGATTGTTATAATGTATTTGTTTTAAGTCTATTTTAGGGATATTTATAACAAGTTATCATTTGGATTTGATTCTCTTAGTCATTATTATGGATTAAATGGTAGGCCTATCTAAAAAATGTAATTTTGATATGTCTACTTACAGTTTCTTGCAGCTGAATCCAAAAATGCAATCAGTTTTTGACGGAGGGATTCCTACATGACGGAACAATTAAATAACTGATAGGCTATCAAACTTTTCGTTGAGATAGTGGTGGTTTGGGTGAGTCCCATTTGAAGCATTTTTGAAATTTTTTGCTGTGTTTCACCCACTAAGTGTTTCAATAGTGCAAAAACAGTCTGGAAGTATCATAAATTAATAAGTCGGTTCATTATAACCTAAGCTTTACCTTCCTAATCTAACCTAACTTCAAAACACTTAATACAGTCACGAATCTGCATAAAACCCGACCTACCAATTACCAATTATTTAAGATGGGGACGCCACTATGTGCGTATTTGAACCCAAATATGAGTGAAGGATGAGTGTAGGATGGATGAGTGGCGCGATCTTGTAGTCTTGTTAGTGACTGAGGCCGACATGTTCCTTAGACACAGCTGTTAATTAATAGCCCATACAGCTAATGGCAACTAAGGGGCCTACAGTTTATTGTGGAATCCGAACCACATTTTTTCCCTCGTAGCTAACCAATTGGTCTAATTATTAGGATAGTACTGCGGATAGTCGTAGTACTCACTAGTGCGGACGTTAATACACACTAGGGAGCATCGCATCCACAGTGCATCCCTATTAATTATCCACAATTCATGACCACCTAGTAGCTGGATTACAGGATGACTCCACCCGTCCCAGTCTACCTTCCCCACTTGCCTAAATATGAGCTGATCAGTCTGCAAACGAATCGTTATGGTTCTGAACGATTCGTTCAGAAGAAATTAATTCCATTGCGCATTAAGTCGAGTTCCTCAGTTCTGCTTGCTCGATCCTCAGTTCACATACGGACCCGTCCAGACTACCATATTATCATCAAAGTATTCATGGTACCGCTCAATGAACCTTAGATTCATGGTTGTAGTTTTACAGCCACTTTGGAATCTCTCCAACAAAAACTGATTGCATTTTCGGCTTCAGCATACAAAAAACTGTAGGTAAGTTAGACATCAAAATTAAATTTTTCACCATTGTAGATACCCTACAGGCTACGGAATAATTGCCGATACTATAACAAACCAAAATAGAAGTCACATTATATAATTTATAGGCTAATTATCTATTGCTATTTAAGAACGGAACTTAATAACTACAGTAAAACAAGGGGTAGGCCTACACTTCCGTATCTGTTGGCACAAACAACCGAATGAGTAACTTAAGTTAATATTGATTATTCAATTGTTTAATTTGATACTTATATCGGTTGGTTAGTTAGGTTAGGTTAACCTTACCTAACTAACCAAACGATATATCGATCAAAATTTTCATTCGGTTGTTTGTGCCAAAAGATATGGAAGTGTACGTAAAACAAGGCAATTCAAAAAGGTGTTTTTTTATGATAGGCTTCTAGGCTAAGTTCCCAAACTTTAATCATGTGGTTCTAGGTTGCTAGGATAGTTTCTTTAACTTGTTGTTCCAATTGGGGTACAGTTTCTTAACTGGGCTGTGCTAATATTGATTGAAACTATCGATTCGATTAGTAAACCTTCATGCGATTTTTTCACCATCAGCAAGTTTGGTTGGTTAGGTTAGGTTATGATAGTTTTATTTTATAATAAAAATATTTAAAAATATTGATTATTAATCAATATTTTCAGTTCAATAGTTTCAATCAATATTAGCATAGCCCAGTTAAGAAACTGTACCCATTGAATAGCCTACTCTATGAATGAAAACATACGATTTTAAAGATTACCCATAAATTAATTGATATGATTGTAAATACCGTGGGTGCAGTTTCTTGTGTAGTAGGAACTTAAGTTAGTTGTTATTTCAAGTCATCTACCTATCTGGACTTTGCTTCAAAAAGTGAAAACTAATCTACAATTTAATTTGAGGTAAACACTACCTACGTTACAACTTTTTAAATGAGTTTACTTACTATTTTAAAAATAATTATCACCGTTACTTATCAACCAACCTTTTCTCTAATACAAATTCAACATACAATCAATCACACTAATCACAGTGGGTGAACGGTGATACTGATAAAGATAAACTAAACTTTAAAAATTGTTTGGAATTGGAATTTCGCTGACAGACAAGACCAAGACAACAATCCGATGCTGACGAGATGAGTCAAATCAAATAAATATTGAATAGCGAAACAGCTGTTTTTGTTTACAATGGCAAAACAGAGACTGGAGATGAAGAAGATGTTAAAGTCAGGATATGAAAAATAACACACATTTCGTTATTTATTAAAGCCGTAGATTAAAATATACTTTTCTAGATTTAACATCTTTATGATTCAGCTGAAGACAACTGAAAGGTTTGTGTCTCTCCGTTTCATATAACTACAGGTATCATGTTAACACCAACTGAGAAAGAAAATATAATTTCGTCAACAGCACGTTCAGTATAACGGAAGGTGACCGTGACAGTCATTCTATAAAAATTATAATGACTCCTTGAATAGTTAGCGTGGATAGTTATACGGTTATACCATTAGACTAGCCAACACCAAGTAGACTTTTCATCCCATTGTAAATGTTGAAGCTCGTTTTTCGTGTCCAGATCATGTCCGGTGACACTGACTGCTAGTGTTGACGAAATTTTGTTTATATTATCTCAGCGTTAATTTCATGATTTGGGCTTTAATGTTTGGTTTTATAACTAGGAGACGAGTTATTGTTTATAATTAGATCATTTTATTTGGTTAAACGAGATTTTAAATTACTGAAATAACCAGAAACAAATTGTAAGCAAAACACGTTTTACGCTACAATGCACCGAACAGAATAACAATAAAACTGGCTTCAGCTGTTCCGCTGTTCCGCAAGGATGAGAAATTACTAAGGGAAGGGAGTATACTTTATCTATGGCTATACTAACTAAAGACGGAAGCGAGGGTAGGTAGTCAATATGTTTCGGGGCTACCGGCATACTTGTTTGAATGCTTCCTGGTAGGTTTACTTCCTCTCTCTTAGGGCGAGCCTAATTATTAACTAATTAACTAATTACTGAAGTAATAACATGGGAATTTAATTTTTTTTTCTCCGTTACCAATAACTGTACAAAACACATTGATATACTAAATAATTTGTTTTTTAAGCTCTTGTAAAAGGTATAAAGAGAAATTGGGAAATTCTGTGTTTTGAGGGTCAAAAATGAGAAAAACCTAATTTTCCCCCATAAAACTTCCCGTGATATCCTGTTCCCATGGTCCGTCCGATCATGCTGGTTCGCGAACTCATTCCAGTTTAATCCGGCCTTACACCTTCAAACCAAATTTCATCAACATTGGACAAAAATGACTCAAGTTAACGCGTTTACGGACGTATATATACAGGGTGAGTTTTAATTGTCCCCCCCCCAACTTTTTTCTACATTTTTTCAAATATCAATCCCAGACCACTTCCAAACATTGTTGGGTAGTAAGTACTTCATTTTGACGAGGTGGTCATTTCCGGCCGCCATCTTGGATCCGCCATATTGGATGCAATTTTTTTTTTCAAATGTAAAGGTGGGATTGTGACCCATTATTTCGAATTAAATTTTTACTCTACTTACAATGCCGCAAACCGTTTTTAAAAATCTTGATTCATTCTAAAGTTATGAGGGCTTTTTAAAACTTTATTTTTAGCCCATTTTAACACTGTGCATTTACAAACTAAGACCATAATCTCAAAATAGTGCTAGATTAAGTATACACTACCAGTAATTGTCGACCTATTTTCACTTGGTTATGATTAATGTATTTTTTTCGGCCGCCATCTTGGATCCGCCATTTTGAAATGTGATAAATTATTTTAAATATGAAGGGGGTGTTGTGACCCATCATTTCGAACTACTTTTTTAAGCTAAACTCAATGCCGCAATCCATTTTTTGTTATCAAGTTTTATTTATGAAATATTGTAATTTTTTTGTTAAAAATGTCAATATTTCAAAATAAAAAAAAATGAAAATGAAAAACGGATCATGGAATTAAGTTCAGCTTAAAAAAGTAGTTCGAAATGATGGGTCACAACACCCCCTTCATATTTAAAATAATTTATCACATTTCAAAATGGTGGATCCAAGATGGCGGCCGAAAAAAATACATCAATCATAACCAAGTGAAAATAGGTCGACAATTACTGGTAGTGTATACTTATCTTTATCTAGCACTATTTTGAGATTATGGTCATAGTTTGTAAATGCACAATGTTAAAATGGGCTAAAAATAAAGTTTTAAAAAGCCCTCATAACTTTAGAATGAATCAAGATTTTTAAAAACGGTTTGCGGCATTGTAATTAGAGTAAAAATTTAGTTCGAAATATTGGGTCACAACCTCACCTTTACGTTTGAAAAAAAAAATTTGCATCCAATATGGCGGATCCAAGATGGCGGCCGGAAATGATCTCTTCGTCAAAATGAAGTACTTACTACCCAACAATGTTTGGAAGTGGTCTGGGATTGATATTTGAAAAAATGTAGAAAAAAGTTGGGGGGGGGGACAATTAAAACTCACCCTGTATATATACACACACAATATATAAAAATTTGAACGAATGTTCTTTTGGCCTCTAGGGACATCAATATGAAAAAGTAAATCGCTCCCGGGCCTAGGTCTTGCCGTACCACCTACGGTAATAGCTATACTTCCCTATATAGGGAAATTCGCTAACAACAGACAATTCGCAACAGAACAGAATTCGCAAACAGTTGATTGATTTATCACTCAACACAAAATATTGTTATTAGTTGGTAGACCATCTCAACTCAACAGATTGCACCATGTTTTTTGGCTTCAAATTTTTACATAGCCTACATGGGAAGTCTAAGGAAATTTTGAAATCAAGGTAAACGTGCTTCACTTTTTTCCATTGAGATATAGATTATAACTGGAGTCACTACTCTCTGGTTGAACGTTGGAGAAAAACGTGCCACAGTTTTGGCTGGTTTGTTTTTGGTGTTTCGTGTTGCTAGGTTGGCCGTGTGATCGGTTTGTGGGATGCTGTCAAATAATTCCAATTCATTCTAACCTAACCATACTATTTATTTGGGGTTATGTTATTTCAAGGACTTGTATCAACAACTTATTTAAGTTATTGCACGTTAAAACCTCTGTATTTAAAGTTATTTGAAACATTATATATTGTTTTTGTTTGATAGTAAATGAATACTAACTTATTTACCTCTTTTTAAGCTATGTGATGAAAATAGGCTAGTCAAATTTCCTGGTTTGGAGATATTGGTTTAGGCAGGGCCGGATCTAGACAATTTTTGAGTGGGGGCAAACTAAAATTTGCCGCCCCTCCCCCCCCCCTTCACCCACAACAACAAATCCCTCACAAATTAAACAAAAATGGAATAGGTAAAGTGGAATAGGTAGATATAACGAATTCCTTGATATAACGAATTTTTTTTAATCCCCTAGAACTCTCCATAAGACACAATGTATATTTTACCTCTACATAACGAACAAACTATAACAACGACCTTGATTTTAACGAATTTTTCGTGATTTCGGCTAAAATAAGACACCTCAATATAACAAATTTATCATTGTCAGAACCTCTACATTGCGAATTTAACCTCTGCATAACGAATTGTCTACGTCTTTCCCTCGGTATAACAAACCCCCCACCCAATTATTGTTTTGGGAAAATCTGTTTCTTTATCAAATGAAATGGAAAGGTCACGTCATCGCTTGCGCTAACATTCGTCTGCTCCGTTTTACATCTTTGTCTGCTGTCTCTGCGCGCGCTATGTTGCAACTGAGAACTGATTTCATTCACTGAGGACTGATGACGACGTAATGTTTAGTAAGCTGTGATTGGGAGATATGGGATAACTATGGTGAATTGTACAATTTTGTTGATAAAGAAAACCCTAAGAAAGAATATAAAAACAAAACCAAAGAGAAAGAATAACAACATCGACATTTTAACATTCCTTTTACGAGTATTTTTACTATCCTTAAGTTGGCTATGATTATACACTTTTATTATGACTTATCTAATAATTTATTGTTTTCAATACGATTTGTTTCAACTAGCATTAGCAACACCAATGCTATAGTTAATGATTATTATTGACATTCCTCTGTTGTGATAAATCAGTACTGTACTGTAAGTAGCCTACCGGCCTATCGCGAGCAGTAGCTTACAAAACTTTCTACTGTTTTGTTTTGTTCTTTACATAATTTATGACTACGCAATACAGTGTTTGGCTAGGTTTTAGGAGGGTTAGAACAAGCTGTGATTTTAAACTTATAGTTTTTAACCTGTACCAAGGTCAATGCCATTGTCATGATTGCGCAATATTCAAGATCCCACCCCTTTATTATGCCGGATAATTTAGGTTCTACTGTACAATGTAAACACTGTACTGTAAAGTATTGTAGCCCATGCTACTTTAATTTTACTGTATTTTAATGAGGTCAAGTCCCGACCTATATTGATCGACGCTGGTTCTGAACCTCGACTTAGCGAAATTCCTGCAAACCTAACCTCTATATAACGAACGACGGCTGAGGCAGGGCGGCATGGCGCCTTGACAGGGATGGCGATCAGCTGAAATTATAAACAAACTTTGCTGTGCTGCTAACTATGCTATTAGGGCTCTCAGTGTTTTCTACTCCGTCGCAATTTATATTGATTTCTATTGCAAAATTATTGTTTGTTTATTACGTTATGCAGTTTTGAAATTACCTAATTGACGTTCCTTATGACGTTCGGCTCATTAAAAACTTTTACAAACTGTATTAAACAAATTTTCTGCAACCAGAAATTTGCCGCCCCTCAACCCTGCCGCCCGGGGCAACCGCCCCCTCTGCCCCCCCCTTGTTCCGGCCCTGGGTTTAGGCCAAACATAAACAATTATCATAATGGCATTTGATAAAATAACGACTATCGGTTTATGATCTTGTTAAAATGGGTTGCTCTTGATCGTAAAATAAATAAATAAGCTTATATGTCAATCATAATGTTGAGTCGGCAGATTTTTGTTTACTATCATCAACAAAACAGGATGACGCCATCTTGATTTTGCCTCTAATTTGACAAGTCCCACCAACCCGATCACCCGGCCAACCTAACAAAACGAAACTCTGAAACAAAACCAGCAAAAACAGTGGTACGTTTTTAAAACACAGAGTGGTTACTCCAGTTATTATAGCTCAGTGCTTTTTTCCCCTTCAGCCTCACCTTCAGTATCTCAGACTGGAAGGTGCACACAAGTTTTGACAATTAAAGTTAAATATGAAATGTAAAATTGTACATAAGAACTGGGGATTAATATAAACTATAATACGGTAATTTAGAGCTTCATGTAATGAAATGAACTCAGATGACTAATAATTGTTCTTTAACCCTAAAATTTATTATCATGTGTTTTTATCATTTCTGTATAGTTTTTCAAAGTTGCAGCAGATAATGTTTGTTATTTGTTAAACCGAGCAGAATAAACACAAGTTATTTTAAACGTATCTGAATATTATTTGAAATTTATCTTCAATTTAATACCGTAGTTCAATTGTATACAGTGACATTCAAAATGAGCCAAAGAAGACCTGATAACACTAAGGACAGAATAAAAAATCCTGGATTGGTGTTAAATTTGATTGACAAATATAATCAAATTTTACCTATGACATTTGATGGGCTCCGAGTCATTGTTCATAGAGGATTGAGCCGCCATTTCAGGGTGTCCCACAACATCTTTTTAAGTTCTATCACCCCAGGAAATTATCGATTTGGAGCCACTTACGTCGGGAATAATATAGTGAACGAGCATGAAAGCTACCCTGTACTCCTGGGGGATATCGACAGCCGAGGGAACATGAACGCTACTATGTATCATCTCGTCGGCTCCCGTCTAAAGCTGAGGCTGGACAGTCAGATGGAGAAAGGTTCCTTCATCAACTCTCAGCTTGCAGCACACTATCTCGCTGACTCCTCTACATCCTCCTTGATTGTCACCAACCCTGATGTACTACGTAACTCTGGTTCCATGATCCTACAACATCTACAGAACATCACACCAGGACTTGCGATTGGAATGGAGTGTGCTGTCATGTACAACATCGCCCGTCGTAAGTCTATGGAAACTACAAATTTGCTCTCTCAACTTTCGTTAATGGGTAGGTACTCCACCCCACTTTCCGCTTGGAGCATTATTCTAAGCAAGAACAACGTACTTCTCAACTGCTACAAGAAAGCTAGTGAACAAATTGAGTTTGGAATGGAGATTAACTCTAATCTCAGATCCACAGTGTTCCAAACTGTGGGAACTTTAGGTTTCAAGGTTACTCTACCCGACCGTGGAGTTATACTCAGAGGCAGTGTCGATACCAATACTAATGTCGCCTCCGTTTATCAGAAAAGAATCTGTAACACTCCGTTTGCCATATTGGTGAGTACCAATTTAAATCATAAGTCCGGTAACTTTAGATTCGGTTTGGGTTTTATAATTGAGTGACTTAAACCAACCCAATGGGAAATTTCACTGGTTCTGTTTGAATCGATGTCTGGTGTGTGGTAATCTGGAGTGTGGTATTTCAGTTTGTTTATTTAGTGTGAAAAGTAACTTGGTGTTCACAGACTTTTTTATAGTTAGCTTAAAAGTTTATGCTTTATCTGGTATTAAAGATGAACGATTAAATTTAAAATTTGCTCTCATTATTTATTAATGATAACCACAAAATGTGTCTTTGTTGATGTTGATGTATTTGTCAGCACTTTACTTTCGTAGAATTTGTTTGGTATCTAGCGTTGCTACCGTACATGGTTTATGTACCTACCAAAAAACTTGTATGTATAGTATTTTGGACCTACAAGTTAATAAGGGCAAGGTTCCTTCAAACTTCATTTTTATAATATACTGTTGTTTGAAATTCTGCCTACAACACACAGTCATTATAAAAAACCTCTAGATAGCATTTTATTTATATTAATAATAATAATAAATGTGCAATGTCAAGCATTTACTATTAAAATAAAGTACATTAATATAAACACACTATAAAACTAAAATGAGTTTCATTTTTTTTTTATTTCCTTTAGTAGATACTACTGCATCAAGCTTTTACTCTAATTCAGTATAAACACTAGGCTAGGCCTACCTATAAATATTTAAATATGTTTGGTTTTATTTAATCTTAGCTTTCTTTCCATTACAAATTGAACAGTATGATATGATACTAGCCTTTGTGCATAACACTAGATTTTAGTGACATAAAAATCTGACAACGTTTTGCCATGATGTCTTAATAGTAATGCCTCCAAAAACCTACAAATCCCCCCACCGTTCCCCACTCAGTTTGCTTGACCATGGGGGGCCTGAAATTTACACAGTTTTGTATAATTGAAATAACCCCCTGATTAGCATAGTGTGTGTATTGGTGCTAATACATGCATAAAAATAATACACGTCTTATTCATGAAAAAAACCCTTTCTACTCAACATAATTAGGTACCCTATTGTACTGCAATTATTGATTAGACATTAAATATGACATATTCAGTGTAGTCGTCAATTAATTGTATATTGTGGAAACGCTACTCATCGTCTAAGAACTACGTTAAGGATCCTTGGTAAACGTGAGTATGAGGAATGCCTTTCCCATAGCCTACGTTTCTACCCCCCTGGGTATCGTATATTTATATTTTCTACCTATTTCATCAATGATCATTAGGGCTGATGGAGAAAATATTTTAAATTGCCCTCTTGAGTCTTGTTTATATTCACGAGTGTAACTAAATATATTACATTGTACCTAAATAAAAATTAAATGACATGGCAAAAATTAAAATTAAAACTTTTTACGATACGGCTTGAGAAAAAAAAGGCTACCTTGAAAATCAATCGTAAGTTTTAAAAGTTAAAAATCAATCAATGGTATAGTGATCAGAGCCAAATTGTGGTGCAAGCCACTATTTAAAAGGCTGTATTTAGCCTGACCTGAAGAAGACTGTGCTCTTGAACTCTGTGTGGTATTCTTTTGTTTAGACATTTTCACACCTTGCTATTGTTCGAGATTTGAACATGAGTGTAACAACTGAGTAAGTACTGTATTGAATATTGGATTATCTATTTTTCATACACATTGCATTAATTTTTACGTTTCCTTCACATGTTATTTATATGCTTAATATGCGATCAAATTTATAAAAACCGTAAACAATAAAAAAATCACAAAACATATTTATTTATAGTCTAGTATTCGCCAATCAGCTAAATCGGGTCATGCGAACATTATGATGCGAGGCATTATGGAGTTTTAAAATTTTTATAAACCCTTAAAATAAGGAAACTATGATTTTTATGACGAAAAATTAAGTTTGCTCGTTTATGTAGGCCTACGTTATTTATATGTCTATTGAATTCTGCAAATTTATTCATTTCATAAAATGCTATTCACGTTTTACGAAAAATACACCTTTTTAGCGAATTTCCCATATAGGGAATAAGCTATTACCGTAGTACTTATGGTAAGACCTGGACCCGGGACCGATTTAATTTTTCATTTTGAGGTCCCTAGAGGCCAAAAACACCATCCGTTCAAATGAATATATATATGTGTCTGTTAGCGCGATAACTCGATCAAAAATTATCCGATTTTGATGAAATTTGGTACAAACGTGTAAACTTACGTTTATTCGAACGAGTTCGCGATCCAGCTTAATCGGACCATGGGAACGGGGGTTTATGGGGGGTTTTATGGGGTAAAAATGGGGTTTTCCCATTTTTGACCCTAGAAACAAAAACATTTGCAATTTCTTTCTAAACGTTTTTGTAGAGCTTAAAAAAAGAAATAATTTAGTATATTGAAGCGCTGTTGTATGTCTAACGGTCACGGAGAAAATTCAAAAATAGTGTAATTTAAAATTCCCATGTTATTCTTATGGAGAAAATTAAAATTGTTGTAGTTTACTTGTTTATGGATATATATTGATAAAATTTAGCAAATTTATTTATTTCATTCTATACTATTGACGTATGGTCAAAAAAACATTTTTTTACCTTCCCCGTAGCAGCAAACCTAAGAACTCGTTAAATCTAATGTTATTTAAATAAGGGAATAAATATGTCTTATTTATGGAAATATTTTAGTAAAAATGTAATCAGACAAGTTGAAATTCGCTTAGTCTGCAGGTTCGCTGCGGCGGGGGTATTCTTTTTATTTAGCAGCAAAATTAAATTAAACCTATAGGTTTTTAAAGGGGTCAAATTGAAATTTGCTTAGTCTGCAGGTTTGCTGTGGGGGGGGGTTTATATTATGTACTACAAGTTAGACTTATGTCTATTAATCAGTAAATGAAATATGTAACTTTAATCAATTATTAAATTGTATTGTATTTTCATCAATGACGTATTTTCTATCTTAGTACATGGTCATCGTTGGCTCATAAGATTATCTATGCAGCTTTGTTGCTGATTAATGTATAATCTGGCAAAAACATGTAATGTTTTAATTTTTTGTCTTCCTAATCAGTTACTCACATATTTGTTTGACGTATACTTATTCTTGTTATTCTTAATCACTTATTGTATTTGCAACTAAATTATTATTTGACATTCGTTAAAGTATGTATGATTCACTTTATGTATTTAATACAATTCACTCATAGCCTGTTCTTTATTATGTATAGATTACGATAGTGCTACAATAATAATAATGGAATTTGTATTCTGTTTTGTATAATTCAAAATCAATAAATAAATTAACCAATCAACTGCAGATCTAGATTAGCGGCCCTAGGCCAACCTAACCCGATCGGCCCCTGTCCCTAGGTGTCGCGCGATCGTTATTATAAGGGATCGTTATTGTCACCTGTTATCGCGGTAAAATCGTCAACATCTCCCGCCAACAATGGGACGTTGTTACCGTCACCCGTTATCGCGGTAAAATCGTCAACATCTCCCGCCAACAATGGGACGTTGTTACCGTCACCCGTTATCGCGGTAAAATCGTCAACATCTCCCGCCAACAATGGGACGTTGTTACCGTCACCCGTTATCGCGGTAAAATCGTCAACATCTCCCGCCAACAATGGGACGTTGTTACCGTCACCCGTTATCGCGGTAAAATCGTCAACATCTCCCGCCAACAATGGGACGTTGTTACCGTCACCCGTTATCGCGGTAAAATCGTCAACATCTCCCGCCAACAATGGGACGTTGTTACCGTCACCCGTTATCGCGGTGAAATCGTCAACATCTCCCGCCAACAATGGGACATCGCTCCGTCACCCGTTATCGCGTTAAAATCGTGAACATCTCCCGCCAACAATGGGACATCGTTATACCGTCACCCGTTATCGCGGTAAAATCGTGAACATCTCGCGCCAACAATGGGACATCGTTATACCGTCACCCGTTATCGCGGTAAAATCGTGAACATCTCGCGCCAACAATGGGACATCGTTAACCGTCACCCGTTATCGCGGTGAAATCCAGGGCAGATTTACCGAATAGACACGGTAGGCATGTGCATAGGGCGTGAGGCAATTGGCTTTTTTGGGGGCGCCAAAAATTTGGAAAAAAACAATTGGTTTTTGTGACGGTTGCATACGATTGCGGTAAACTTCTGATCATCCCCCGCGCCCATGAAGACATCATTATATCATTCCCCGCGGTCGTGTGGACATAGCCTAGTAATTTTTTCCCGCGGTCTTGTGGAGATCATAAAATAGATAAAGTTGCCAAGTTTTATAAAAATATATCCATAAACAAGCAAACTACAACATTTTACAATATTCTTCATAAAAATAACATGGGGATATTAAATTTAAAACTTTTTGAATTTTCTCCGTGACTAATAACCGCACAAAACACTTCAATATTCTAAATTATTTGTATTTTTAAACTCTTTAAAATGTTCTAGAGAGAAATTGGGAAATTTTGTGTTTTCATGGTCAAAAATTAAAAAAAAAAACAATTTATATACCATAAAACTCCCCATAAAACCACGGATCCTTCGTCCAATCATGCTGGTTCACAAACTCATTGAATGGTATCCCGCCTTACACGTTCAAAACAAATTTCATCAAAATCGAACAAAAATTACTTAAGTTGCGTTCATGGACATATATATAACAATTTGAACAAATAGTGTTTTTGGCCTCTGGGGACATCAAATTAAAAAAGTAAATCGGTCCCGGTCTCAAGTCTTACAATGAGAACTACGGTAATAGCTACTTCCCTATAGGAAAATTTGCTAAAAATCCAATTCAGCTGTTAGTTTCTTTAGCCAGGGCCAATTACAACACCCGACGATAAACATGGTCCAGTAGTTTTGAACCATAAAAAATACTAGTCTAAATACTAGCAATAGTTTAAAGGTGGTATCAGGTCAAAATTGGTGGTGAACTTTAACGTGAATTTAACAATTAATTATTTATATGAATACACTAGCAGAGCACCCGTCCTTCGTACGGGAGTGGCATATAAGTAGGCTATAAAATGCTTAGTACAGTTATACTCAAGCTTAGCGTTTGCAATGAGGGAGGACAAAGTATGATAAAATTTGCTTCTTTAAATTTACGGTATACTATAGTATTACACATCTACCATAGCCATAATGTTCTACCACTTCACCCAAACAATAGAAAAAAATAAATTATTAAAGATTCACAAAATATCACAAATTATTCGTTAAATTAAAAACATAAACATAGCCTAACTGTAAACAGACAGTTCTCATTGTGTATCACAGTTTTTTGTTGCTGCTTAGTTCAAATTAGCTGTTTTCATAAATGAAAAAAAAATAATAGTGCTGCATCCTGTTGGTAAATCTTATAACTTTTAATTCCATTAAGCATATCATAGAACCAACCTTTTTAGTTGAAACAGCTGACTAAATTCTTTAATTCCTATGAGTACTCATAAGGTTAAAATGGGAAACTCTAGAGCCACTGGGGCGGAGCCCGAAAGGATTTTTGAGTAAAAAATATGCCTATATGTTAATTCAATTCAATTCAATTATTTAAGATGGGGACGCCACTATGTGCGTATTTTAACCCAAATATGAGTGAAGGATGAGTGTAGGATGAGTGGCGCGATCTTGTAGTCTTGTTAGTGACTAAGGCCGACATGTTCCTTAGACACAGCTGTTAATTAATAGCCCATACAGCTAATGGCAACTAAGGGACCTACAGTTTATAGTGGAATCCGAAACACATTTTTCCTTGTAATTTACGAATTGGTCTAATTATCAGGATAATACTGCGGATAGTCGTAGTACTCACTAGTGCGGACGTTAATCCACACCAGGGAGCATCGCATCCACAGTGCATCCCTATAAATATCCACAATTCGTGACCTCCCAGTAGCTGGATTACAGGACGACGCCACCCGTCCCAGTCAATTAATCCCGTCACAGTTAATCGGGAATGTGAGCTATCATCATGCCAAATTTGAGCCCAATCCATCCAGTAATTAATGCGTGATTGAACTTCAAACACACAAACAAACCAGCAAACAAACAAACAAACACACAAACTTTCAAATTTATAATATTAGTAAGATAAGATAATAATAATTACTATTATAGCGTGGTCGAATTATAACATGAAATAAATAATAAAGACAGTATAAATTAATAAAAAAACACACTATATTTATTGAACTGAATATCGATTTCCTTCTGCTGATTTATTCGCATGATAGGTTTAGAAGAGAGTATGTAAACTTTCCTGTAGTTTGTGGGATTCTAGATATTATAAATATATCTATTTACATCACGCGCGCCTTTCAATGGAACTTTTATAACAACAATGAGACAATATAGAAATATATCTCTATTCAAGCGTAGTGTGTATACTGATGAATATTTCAGTAATGACTATTTAGAGACTATCAGAAGCAAATATTGACCTAGGCTAGACTGTCGCCAGACCCATTGCTTGTAGAAACTTATCTTGTAGCAGATTTGCATTACTCAGTCAGACTCTCAACCCTTTCCGTTTCCGTTTTAGGGTCAATGACTTTAAATACCTTCTTAGCATTAATTTAATACTATCAAATTTGTATTGCTAAATTATATAAAAGTATGTGCAGGCTAATTACGACCAAACCATTTCAAGAGTGTAATATTTTAATTGATAAAATGTTAAAAAGGTTTCCTTAATATTCCTAGATGGATGAAACCACTATTTGTAACCAAGGTGGGAACATCTCCTAACTCTTGCTAGCACACTTATATTGATTAGTTTCAATAGTTTTACTTGCTGCCATCCTAATTATCTCCCAAAATAAATTAAAAGATACGTGTATGAAATGAGAATGGTTGATTATGTTTTTTTTATTTGATACATTCATATACGTTTTCAATGTTTGTACCTATTTAAGATATTGTACTGCAGATTAATCATGCTACCCATAAATACATACAAGTTTCCTAACTTATACAAGCCACAGATAAAAATCGATGTTGGTTCATCTACGACAAATTTAAAGTGTAATTATTCAAATATAGGTATACATCATCAATTGAAGAGATTAGACTATTTTAACTACAATGGACATTTCCAACATGTTGTTTTGTTCGGCCGCTGCGATAAGATGGTGTTATCATCGAGTGTCAGTTAGGTTATGTGCAGGGCAGTGGCAGAAACAGCTGATCTCAGTGGCAGTGGCGCTGGCAGTCTCAGCTGTGCCAGTGGCAGTGGAGAATCAACGATGCTCAAAGTCGGGTTCCTAGGTGGCGGGCGGATGGCGCATGCGCTCGCCAAGGGATTCATTTCTGCAGGTGAGTTCCCTAACCTAAACTATACAACTAAAAATAAACCTTGATGGTTTGCCAGTTGACAACTGTAATCGAAAGTCTTTGACTTGGCTATGCTTTACAGAATGGTCTGGTAAATGTACCTGCAATCCAGCCGAAATAGTAAAAAAATAAATGTATGAACATTATTCATACCCAATTTGTTTTTCATACATTTAAACAATATTTTAACGTGTTTTCTTATAATGTTTTACCTATAAGGGTTATGATGGGTCGCCAAAGATTTATTTATTTGGATTAAATGAAACAAAATCTTCGCTAGTGTTAAGTTTTTTACTACCTACTGTTTTCGTTTTTCCGTTAGAAAAACACAACCATCCAACCATCACTTAACAACATTTCAGATTAAAAATTAAACAGTCTAGGTTAAAATGTGTAAAAAGACACGATGGTAAATTATAGAAAGATCCAAACAATAAACGATTTACCAAAAGATCCTGCCATGAATCACGCATCACTGAAATAAACGAGTTATCCGTGTTCCTGCATAGCCTAATGTGTAAGCACAGACAAAATCTAGATAGCTGAAATTGCAATGATAAATCATGAATCAGGCACTTGTAGTATTTAACCAGAGTTTGTAATGATGTAAGATTACACCAGGTTTGCCAGGACGGTTTGTGCAGAAGTCAATACTTGGCAACTAGCAGGCCGTGGCGTCAATAATAACTTGTGTGTGCGAGTACAATCAATATTTGGTCAGTAATATTTGTCTTTTGAATAAAACTAAACATTCTCAAAAGATAAACTTTGTTTAGTTAGCAATGCATTTTGTCACACAGGAAATCGATAATGTATTCAAACAATACACACGTTTTGTTTAGGAAAGTAACTACCGGTGTATACGCTATTCGATAAAAACTGTTGTGATTATATAGGACAAAATAATTATACGAAATTACAATATATTTAATTCAAGGGTCGAACATTTTAAATACTGCAATACAATCTGCAAATGGGTTCATAGAAATGTAGCCTATTCCGTTATGGTTACGTGGCTTTCCAACAATGCTGTAAAAATATAGTTGTATTTATTTGATTATAAAACATGTACATATAATGCAATATACCATGGCAATAAATAGTTGAACAAGGTAATCAAAAAGATACACGCAATCAAGCATCATCAATAAAAGGTTTACATGCACGATCAATTACAGTGCCTAATAATAATACAGGCTAGCGTAATAAATAAATACTGTACATGCACTAATAATTAAGAAAGTATAAAATTATAAAACTCTGTAAAAATGTAAAAATGATCTATATCTACTCGTACATACATTATGTATACAGTCGCTAAATATTTAATTCATATCATGTACTATTTAAAAAATACAATACATTTTATAAAATGCAGCTTGCATCGCAGAGTGGAAAGTAGGCATAGTCAGGAAATAGTTGATATAGAATGATTTTTTTTACAAATAATATGATTAAATGTCAATTTAATAATGGACTGTGGAAGCGTCTCTAATCGACCACCACACTTTTGTTACTTTCTCTACAATTCAAACAGTATGATTAATGATTAATATGATGTGTTACTGTCGATTATTATTAGTGCGTCATCAGAACTTGCTCATTCGTCTAGATTGTTTATTGTGTAAAACTCTGAGAAACGGAGGCAGGGATAGTCTCCATTAAGAGGTAAATGTGCGATTTTCATCTTGCTCGACGTAATAATAAATGGTCTTTATTCAGCAAGCGTTTTTCAGATATGTACAATTCTGCTTTACAAAACAATTCTTGTCGTTAACCTACTTAAACCATGATTAATGACTGTATGGGTAATAGAAGCTTGGTGTGATACTCCCGTCATATGCTGACGTCACCCAGATTGCAAACGCCATTTCACTATTTATTTAAAAAGAACTAGTTCCTGTACCCATACCCTACTTCGCAACGGGAAGAAAATCAGTTTCAAAATCATTGAAATAGATTTTGACTAAATAATCTATCATAAAATTTTATATTAAATAATCTACCCTACCCCTAGTAAAAGTATATTTAATTTCTTTGGATCAGCTGACTGAAATTGTGAATGATCATTTTGCCACTTCTGATTGTTTACAAATGTCAACGCACAGGTAAACATTCTGATTTTTCTCGTGCTTCCATGCATGGAGACAAATCAATATTTACTTTTGAAATCCTTACTCTCAAAACTTTGGACACCCAAGGGGCGTAGCCCGAGAGGCACGTGAATAGGCCTCTCGGCCTCTGACATTCATATACAGGGTGTTCAAAAAAGGTGTGGACATATTTTACCTAGTGATTCCTTGGGTCAAAAAAAAGAGAAAATTAAGAATAACATGTTTTCCAAAATCGCTTCGTTAACCTTATATCCGCCATTTTGTATTTTTTTGTATTTTTCGAGATGAACTTTTTTTAACCCGGGTCTCTTTTACCTTAACATACATACCAAGTTTCATAAAAATGGATTAAAAATATTTAAAGATAAAAATGTTTATGCAAAAAATACAAAATGGCGGATATCTGGTTAACGAAGCGATTTTGGAAAAAATGTTATTTTTGTTTTTCTCTTTATTTTGACCCAAGGAATCACTAGGTAAAATATGTCTCCACCTTCTTTTGAACACCCTGTACATGTGGACCATGCTTGTGCTGTATCGGTTTAGTATTTTAGTCGTGACAGCTGCCCAGACAGACAGACACCACCTAAATTTTATAATAGTACTAGCTGACCCGGCGAACTTCGTATCGCCAAAGTTATAGGTTTCCCCTAAGACAGACCGATGGAAAGAAAGTACCGTTAAGTTTAATTTTCAAGATGATCTCGTTCGCATCGCTCAATCACGTCCTGGTTGAAGTTCGTTCGCTACGCTCACTCACCTTTGGGTTGGAGCTCGTTCGCTACGCTCACTCACCTTTAGGTTGGAGCTCGTTCGCTGCGCTCACTTGCCTTCAGGTTAGCTCGTTCGCTACGCTAACTCGCCTCCAGGTTGAAGTTCGTTCGCTACGCTCACTCACCTTTGGGTTGGAGCTCGTTCGCTACGCTCACTCACCTTTAGGTTGGAGCTCGATCGCTGCGCTCACTTGCCTTCAGGTTAGCTCGTTCGCTACGCTAACTCGCCTCCAGGTTGAAGTTCGTTCGCTACGCTCACTCACCTTTTGGTTGCAAATTAGCTGTTGTCATAAATGTAAAAGAAATAATAGTGCTGCACCCTGTTGGTAATCCTTGTAACTTTAATGCTATTGAACATCATAGAACAGAACCAACTTGTTTAATTGAAACAGCTGTTAAGATTCATTAATTCCATTTCTCATAAGGTTAACATGGGAAACTCCAGAGCCACTGGGGCGGAGCCCTTTTAAGAATTTCGAAACGGGAAATAGTTTACTTTCTATTCGCATACCTACAGAATTTACACACCAAATTTCATAACGATCGGTGAAGTCGTTCCGGAGGAGTTTGCAGACAAACACTGTGACACGAGAATTTTATATATTAGATAGATAGATTACAAAAACAATCAAATTAAATCAAATAGGTATATACTTTTATGACGGTTACAATCAGGTGGTTTTCTGTTTACAATCTATTGGCGACGTCGGCCTATGACGGGATCACACTTTCACACCTATAGACTACTTCTTCACAATATTGAGGCGGTTGAGAGGAAGGTTCCCCACCACTTTTTGTATAAAATGTATGCTGTTTAAAAATCAGCTGTTGAGCCATTATTTTAAAGATAAAGGTCAAGTTGAGAGGATAGATTTCTTTTATCTTAAACTGCCTAAAAATGTGTGAACGAAGTATAGTGTACTACCGGTACTTGGTTGTGCTAAATAATACAGTTGGCGATTTTACAAGCTGTGTGCCAGTACACAGTAATCTGGAAATATATAAACATTGAGAAAATAATTAACAAAAAAAATATTAACAGAAAAATCCTCGGACGAAAATAAAAGTTTGTCTGTACATGCGCTTGTTTTAGAGTATAGGATTATTTCAGTGCCTAATGAGCCTGCAGTACATAGGTACTTTTTGTGCTTGCGAGAACACCATGCATAAGCAGATAAGACATTCCCTGTAGGTCTAACACTAAACCGTGAATGGGACAATGCATATCAGCTGATCGGCAATGAAGTAAAGGATACAGGGCTGCCAACATATGAGCTTGGTTTTGTCATTGTAGTGTTCTAGGTACTTGTATTTTGGGTTGCATTATTTAGGGTCTTCTTAAAATTGTGTTCCTTATAAACTTCATTTAAAGATAGGGCAGTTTAGAACAATTTCGCAAGTTTCATGGGTATCGGATATTAGTTTGAGTAATGTTTATAATACAGTATATATAGATGCCCTTGATCATTGGCAGAACATCTCTAATCTCACAATCCTAATCGACCTAATCAGTCACTCAAATCCATATTCTATAAATCAAGTTTCCAAGCCTTCAAAGTTTCATTCTTATTCTTAAAAATCCACGTTCAAAAAACATTTAACATAATAACATTTAACATTTAATATCATGTACCTTATAAACCAAACTAAGACTATTCTAAAACGTTAGTCCAACTTAATTTTGTGTACACGTAAAAACAAAATGATAACATATCAAATCAAACGATAACAATAAAAATAACCTATATCAGCTGTTTTATTAACTTCAGCCACAAAAGGTACTGACTATAACATGGGCACTTTCAAGGGCTGTGGGGGCGGAAACTGGATTTGATTTTTCCCAGCCTTTTTTGTGACCAACTCAACTCCAATCTATTTCTCGTGGTCAAATACCCCATAATAAAAAATAAGAAATGAAAAATCCTCGGACGAAAACAAAAGGTTGTTAGTACATGCTTGTTTTAGAGTAAGGATTATTTCAGTGCATAATGTGAATATTTTACCAAACGTAGTGAAACATTTAACCTATGTTTTTTTTTTTTACTGGTGATGCTATTGCTAATACTGCTTTTAGGCTAGTGGTGCCTACATATAG